TCCCCTCCTCTGCATCTCTCCCCCCCTCCCTCTTTCTTTCCTGTTCTCCTCTGTGCAGACTGACAGGGATGAAAAGCTGGCTGCTGATCAAAACACCCCACCCAGCATCACTGCCTGCTATCCTCCCCACATGCTCTCTCCGCCCTTTCTTTCTCCCTTCTCCTCTTGTTATCCCCCCCACCCTCAGCCACCACCCACCCCTCTTTTGCTAGCGCGCCCCCCTGCTGTTCCGGCTCCTTCATTCTATTCACCCCTCATCTCCTGCGAGCTCCCTTCTTCCTCTCTTTCAGTCATCCTCCCTTCATCCCTTTCCTCCATCTTTCCCTCTCATCTCCTCCTCCCCCCGCCCCTCCTCACCTCAACTCCCACGTCTAGGCGGCAGAAATAGAGTACGTGAAACGGAGAGAGAAAAGGGAGAGCAAGACAGGGAGAGGGATTGTTGTTCGCGGGCAGAGCTGTCATGAGCGGAGGGATCTGAGGGTCTGTGTGTGGGTCTGCGCAGCGCCAATTTCCGCTGAGCAGCCTAATCAAAGGGAAGAGCAGGCACATGCGTACACGCACAAATACGCACAACAGCCCACAACCACGGGCCCCGTCTGAGATTCTCCCTCTGCCGACGCAATCACACACACACACATGTTGCTTATAGCTGTGGCTTCCCCAGAGCAAAGGGACACGCACTGTGTGCGTACACACGAGTTCATTAACGGTTTACCTGTAAGCGGATACACAGAGAGACAGACAGGCAGGCAGGCAGGGAGAGGAAAAAACCCGTTTAGTGCTGCGGCTGAGTGGGAACAAAAGACGAATGGGGGCAGTTGGATCAGACAACGAAAGAGACAGGGATAGAAAGAGAAAAGAAGGGCAACCAGAGAGACGGGCGGTACTTGGTGATGGAGGGATCTGTGGTTTAAAAGGAGTGAGTTACTCCATAAAGGTAAACAGAAAGAGGGGGAGAAAACACAAAGGATGAACGAGAGATACTGGGGCGCTGCGGAGGAGGAGGAGGAGGAGGAGGATGAGGAGGATGAGGGGAAAGAGAGCAATCCGGCACCAGCTCAATTAGTAGGCGTTCCCGCTGTGTCTTTCAAGGCGGAACATGGTCCACTGGCCAGCTGCATCCATCTCCTGTACACGTCTGCAGACCTGCACGGAGGCCGCGACGACGGCGCATGCAAGAGCACACACACATGTGAGCTCCCACCTGCAGTTTACCTGCGCGATCTGTACACAAACTGCAACTCTCCCCATTAGAACACACAATAACAAAGGCCCCTGCTCTGCAGTGCTGTGTCGCAGTCACCGAGGGGACACCTAAACATCTGGCACGGCTCGTGCTTTTTCCTTCCTTTTTTCACGTCGGCCTCTCTTCCCGTCTTCTGCAGGACCTGTAAGATATTCACCACCTCCACCACTCAACACCACCTCTCGGGCCAAGCAAGCGAGGGCCAAAACAAAGACGCTGTCCACAACAGCCGCCTACACACCCAGAAGACACACGGTGATGAGTGATGACGGACGGGCGCGCCGGCCACCGGGGGAGGATTAAAGGCTGCGACGAGGCGGAGCTAACAAACCCTGGAGGACGGCTCCGCGCGGAGAAGCTGCCCCCTGAACTCGGCCCCCCGGAGATGAGTTTCCCCATACTGGAAGGCAGAAGGCAGCGGGACTGTTAAACGGGAGGATAGACTGCGCTTTAGAGACTGGTGTGCCTAGAGCCCAGTGCACAGGTGGGCTGTTTGAAATGCAGAGCAGGGAATGTGAGCGTGTGTGTGTCTGTGCGTGCGTGCGCGTGTGTGTGTGTGTGTGTGTACTGCCTTCGGATGGGTTGCTATCATAGTCAGACACCTGGCGGACACTGATTGGACGGGAGCATCCCCCTGGCCACCTTGTCTGTTGGCCAAGAGGTGCGAGTGTGTGTGTGTGTGTGTGTGCGTGTCCGTGTGCGATAACCACAATGCGATTCTACAGCCACATCGTCAGTGTGTTTGTGCCTAAGTTCATCTCTAATTCAAGATGTCATTTGATCAAAAAAAAAGCAGCAGCCAACCACTGGATGTACTATCTCAATGTGTGCGTTTGTGTGTGAAACAAGAGACGAAATGAAACAAAAAAGGAAACCATACGCGATGACGCGCTTCACAGGTTCTAAATATTCTGATATTGAAGAGTTAAGAAAAAAAAAATGGACAGTATTTTAATATAATGCTCTTATCTTCGGAGATGTATTTTGATGTGCATTATGACTATACGGCATCATTGCGTCACCCTTGGTATATGTCAGGCTTTGTTGTAATTCAGAAAAATTTAAAATAAAATAAAAAGAAGTTAAAAAAAAACAAAAAAAGATAGCTCTGTTTAAGAGTGTAACTCCATTTCAACTGTGTGCACATTGAATATGTACAGAAGACGCCGCCATCATCACTCGACAGGTTGCAGATCAGGGTCCGAGGGTCCAACCGGGGGTCATTTCACGTCACCTCTCATCTATGTACAGTTCAGAAGTATTACTGTTGAACACGACGTGCGATTATTTCACCTACCACAGCAACTCCGAACGATTTACAGTTAATACAGATTCCACATCACACCGATATCAAATGTAGCCTCCCTCACTCCATACTAAGTAACAATGGCCTGTACAGGGTGTCAGTCTAAGTACCGGGCATATCAAAAATGAGACATATTAAAGTATTAGAGCATAAAATAAAGTGCAAAAAACACCACACCAAACGTTCCCTTTTATGAAGCTCATTATTTAATGGTGTATATAAGTATTTGATGCTGTTTAAATGTAAGATGTGATGTACTAATATAATTGTGTATAGTATTTCCTAGAGATGTTTATTTTCTATAAAATGGAATATGTTATTGCTTATAAAATGTTATTAAAGAATCCATTGATGAAAAAAAGAACCTTTTTTGGGAATGTCACTTGTCATAAGCATGCCGTTTTATTGATTTTCATGTCTATTTGTTTGGAATCGATGACACAGCATCACTTTGTTTGAAATGTTTTTTGTAACGCCAATGTTAAATATACCAGCACCTTTCAATGCTGCTATGACCAACGCCTGCTCTTTTTGTCTTTACTGAACGTGCACCAACATCAACACACACGGGACATGCAATTGGGACCGGGGAGGTTGTGATCAATATTAGTCAATGGGGAAGAAAAATGAAAAAGTCAAATTTCATGCCGCATTGACAAGCGCTCCTCCAGACTCAAATCTGATATTAATACAATGTTAAGTATTCAAATTAGAAACATGACAAATGCATTGAAGAGCAACTGTTACTGATATCAATTAACTTTGCCCTTTGCTTACAAAAACACTGTTCGAGATTTATTACAGAAGAATTAATTTATTCTTTTGAAAAACTTTTAATCCCATTTTGCATGTAACCACATGACCTACTTTAACGGAGGGAGACTGTTAATTACTTTGATCACCACCATCATGTTGTACTAAACCATGTATCATCCCCAGCATTAAAATGGAGAGTACCACAGGAAACACTTTAGTCTTCTTTACAAAATGCTTTAATATTTACATTCATAAAAATGATGAAACCAAAGAACAAGTGATAAAAAGATGTTAGTTACGGGAGAAATGAATCTTTTAGAGGTGGTTGCATCTCATTCATCTCAATCCCACATCTTTCAGTCTTTCACATTAGTGACACTCTAAAACATACCGTTTCCAGGATAAAAACACATGCCAACCGTTTTTTTTTTTCCACTCTGAAAAAAACAAGGTTCTCCAGAAGCATTAAATTAGAAAGACTGAAGGGCAAATACTGCCATTTTGTCAAAGAGCTATAAAGGAATAGCAGAAGATTCGCTACAGGCCCTCTTTGGGAAAATAATTAATTAAGTTTGCAACATGTAACTTGTTGCAAAAGTGCCAAAGGTTGACGTCATGGTTCTAGTTGCCAGGATTGGAGGCTGCCAATTACTTTTCATATCATAGTTGCATACATGTCAAACAGTGTAAAAAGGGCAATTAAGTTAGACGATATGACACTTTCTCCACTCGTCGTCCATCATGGCAACACAGACCTGTATGATTTGGGCCTGTGCAGATTCCACCAAAGACAACAGGTTTAAGGGGAGGAAAATACGCATCTATCACACTGCTTATGAAAAATAGAGCTCAATCAAACATGTCATACAGATTATAAATACATTTTAAAATATGTACACTGCAAAACAAAGTATGACCTCTATGAAAATAACTTCGTAAAGCCATATTATTACACATCTCATTGAAATCAGGCCCGCGGGCCTAGTGCAGATAGAGACGCAGCGCTTGTACAGCGGGTCACCTCTCAGATTACCTCCGGTAAAAACATGATTCAACTTTAACACTATTTGAACAGCCTGCCGGGGGCTCCCCGCTGAGCGGGATAACGCACAAGGGACCCGTCACTTTTAAGCCAATCAGGACAGACAACCATACTCCTGCCGGCAAAAGGTGCATCTCTGCCAAAAATATTGTGGGTGGGACTATACTGAATAAGTGCGGGGCAAGTATCTCGGTCATGTTTTAAACGCACACACACACAAGTCACACTGCACGGCCCACTAGGAGGACGTGACGGCGCCTCTCGGTGGTCAGCCTGTGGCACTGCAACACAGTCTCACGAGGTGATTCAGCTTGGTATGTAAGCTTCCTTTATTCTTCTAACAATCCAGAGCAACAATATAATAAGTGCTTCCTCGTGACGGACAGTCCAAAAGGAAAATTATTTCAGCGTGATAAGAATCTGGATAGCTTGATAAATGTGTTCAATGGCTGCAGGCCAGGAAGCCACAGGCTGTTTGCTGGTCTCTTCGGTCAGTGTGTTTTTGTATTTCAGAGATGCTTGTACGTACGTACACACACACACACACACACACACACACACACACACACACACACACACACACACACACACACACACACACACACACACACACACACACACACACACACACACACACACACACACACACACAGCGTCCATGCATGTCTCTCAGCACCTTCCCCCACCTCCATTCCCTCCCTCTCTCTCTCTAGCTGTTGGTGACGGTGGTGCCGCTGCCCAGCTTGATGATCATTTGCTGGCAGTCATGGAGGGTCCTCTTGTCTCCCAGCTTCTCCAGGGTGCGGGCCGCATCCGCCAGCATGCCCACCCTTTGGCCCGGGGCCGACAGAAAGGAGGGGGGAAGGTAGCGGCACGCCAACATCACAGCCTCCGCCTGCTCCCGCTTGCCTGGCCGCGTCTCGCACTCCTCTGCACACAAATATTGTTATTACAGCTATTTCAGGGGAGCTTTTCGATGTCCAGACTTATTTAATTACTGATGGGATTAAGTGTTGAGAACAATTGGGCAAAACAAATGAGCGGCTGATAAGAGCGACTGATTACAGACATTTTGTGTCTCGACTTTTGTTTAAAAAGTTGAAAAACACACACAAGAATTGATGCAAATTGATGCAGAGAGAAAAGCAGAATCCACAGTTGAAGTTGATGAGTAATGATTTAATTTACAGCTCCCGGATTAGAGTATGATACCAGAAAACAACAATTAGGATTACGCTGTAAGAGCCACTCATACTCCCTACTCAGATACCAATACCAAGACTGAAACTAAATATCCATGAGGTTCAAATCCTAAACAGCAAATACGGCTATTTCTAGATCATATCACTACTCAGGAAATTATGGTTATAAAAAAAGAATACAATTTGCGATGTCTAAGAGCAAAAGGTTTATCGAAACCATCCTACACGCAGACAGTTACTCGTGCAGAGGGGATGAAACACAGAAGTCGACATAAGTGCGTCCAAACACACCTGTCTTGGCTCCGGGCGTTGCCCTGCGTCGCAGCGAGCGGTCCAGCAGCTGGTGGGTGCGGGTGGGACTCGCTCCCGCCATCAGCCTGGCTGTGGCTTCATGAAGGAACAACTGGAACGAGGAGTAATGAGGAGAATGACTGACACATAATATTCAGCTCTACCTCAGAGAGACTTTGAAGCTTTGTGAACAGCGCAGTTAAACTCTTGCCTCGGGAAATGGGGGGGTTGGGGGGGTCCCAGCAGATTTCAACAGATAAGGGTATCGTGCAAATACGTGCACATAAAGAGGATGTATAAGTTATGTGCTTCTCCTGACGTGTTTCTATTTTCCAGGCGCTCTTCTTTAAGTGAGGATTTTAAGTCCCTGTTTGATGAGTCATGGTTATAAATGCCTGACGGTGTGTTCATCTTGTTTTAATAATTCCCAGTGCATGTTAGACTAGGAGGAAAAAAACATTAGAAAAAAGTTTGAACGTATGCCAAACAATGAAAGCCCCCAGACTTTTAACTTTTTAGTCTAAAGTACTTGCGTAAAGAGTAAGGAATAATACGGTTACACGTACTCTTCGCATTGCAGGCCTGAAGCTATGAGCCAGCTTGCGTAGGGAACTGAGGTCTTGCTGAAAGCCTTGGAGCTCCGGTGGGGACGCCTGGTGGACCCCCACCGGGCCGCCGGTACCCACCGGCCCAGACGCTACCGGACCGACCACCTGCTGCTGCAGGCGCCACACGTTGGTCCTCATCACCAACAAGAGATCACACAACAGCAACTGGACAACCTAGAGAGAGAAAGACACAACCGGAGGATACATTTTACTGCCTTAAAGTAACATCGCTGACAAATGACCCTGGGTACGGAAATGTGACAAAGCATAAAAGCTATATTTAATTGTGGTGGCTGAAAAGGCGCAATGTATCCGTTTTAGACGTCATATTGAGGAACAATCACATAAAGACATTTTTCTTCTCTAGGACACCGGTTACCAATTTGAAAAAGACAAAACAATATTTGTTTTCCTGGACAGCAGAGAGATTTAGCCCAACATGAACCTCAACAGAGCTCTACTCAAAAGTCATGGGGCATTTTCCACCCCCACTATGTGCGTTCTGCTGTTCGTGGCCCAGCTCCGTGTTGCACTGCAGGTGCATTGCACTCCGCTGAGACACACATGCAATGCAACTACAATGCACCACAGCTCTGGCCGTAGACGTGCACACGCTGTGCGCTACCTATCCACCTGCATCACCATCTGCTGAATGCCAGAGGGTAGGACACCGCTGCAGCAGAGAGCCGCCGCCGCCACAGGGGGATTCGCAGGCTGTGCTAAAGTGTGTGGCTTTGAATTGAGGAAAGTACGTGTGTGTGTGTGTGTGTGTGTGTGTGTGTCCTCAAGTGTATGCGTGAAGGGCAATCTTCTGCGTTTAGAATTTGATACACGCACACGTGTAGGGACATCTGTCACTAAGAGCATTCATGTGTTCAAATTTCTAATGCAGATGCTGTGGCCCCAACAGAACTTGACTTTAATTTGCCAAGATCTGAGAGCGTGCGCGTGTACCTTGTCTAAACTGGAGCTGTGGCAGTGTGGTCCTAGGTTGAGGCTGTCTCGAAGCAGGGCGCTGGCCTTGTCGCTGTAGCTCAGACTCAGCTGGCAGTTCTCTGGCTTGGACAGCAGCGCCCGCACGGCCCTGAATGTGTTCAGACAAGTCTTGGGAAGAAGACTCCTGACAGAGAGAGGGGAGTGGGGGGAAAACAGAGGACACACGGGTTCAACAAGGGAAAATTTGTGCCGGTTCTCTGCAGCCGAAAAGGTTACGAGACAGTCTTAGCCTGGCTGCAGATGTTGCCGCATACGCCTGTCCAACTTACTCTGCGTTCTGCAGACTGCGGGGCAGGTGCTCAACAGTCGGATACAGTCTCTCGGCCGCGGCGTCGTCTCCTTGGAGCCAGTTGATGATCACCACGGTAACCGAGGACCACCACTTGGAGTGAGGGTCACAAGTATTTTGACCTCTGAATCGATCAGTTTCTTCCCTCTGGCATGCTGAGAGAAAGACATTTTGATGACGGCCTCTTAAGGGAAAGGTACTCTATTTAATAATCGGCCCACACACACACACACACACACACACACACACACTAATACTGTAAGCAACTCTCTGCCAAGAAAAGTCTCTTATTAAAATCCCTGCACAGCCTCCTTTTCCCTCCCGCTTCTCAAGGTGATCACCGATCTGACAGAGCTGAAGATAGATGAAGCAATCTAGCAGACACCCCCTCCCCCCCTCCACCTCAACCCCTTTCGCTCAGATCTGTGATCAGTGAGGACAAAAGGAAAGTGGAACTCAAGCCACTCAATCTCTCAAGTTAAAAAGAAAATCTCAGTGTTTTCTCTTTTTTTATTTTTTATTAACACATTAAAGAAATCAAACAAACATTGTTGGCTGTCAACTGAATGATGGTACTCAATCGACAGTAATAACAGCAACTTACCAGTCACAGTGGCCATGTTGGAACCAACAGCAAAGGACTGGGAGGTGCCACCAGCGGCATCCGATGCGCTAATCAACAGCTGGAGGTACTCCAGGGCATCGGTGTACTCCCTGAGGAGAGACATTGGTTACTTAAGTCGCCACACAAAGACTTTTTCCAATCAGTCGTTTGTGGTAGTCCATTATTCTATGCTTATTGTTTATTGTAAAATAATGGTTCAACCGTGAGATTCTAATAAGAGAATCCCTCAAAAACATTTATTTTTGAAAGCGCTTCGTTCTCTCACCCTTCCCCCTGGCTGGGGCTTTTCTCTTCGTGAGGCTGAGCCACACAGTACAGAGCCTTCTCCAGGAGATGCTCCCTGAAAGCCTGAGTCACCTGGGCCAGAGGATCCACTGGAAAAGGGCCAACAGACCTTTAACATACAACTGCCTCAATGCACATCTACCAAACACACATGGAGCGGGTACTAAGTTTTGCCTGCACTGACCAGTATTGCCCGCCTGGCTGTAGATGCTTTCTTTAGGAGTGCTGCGAATCGCCCAGTCGCCGTCCACAAAGAAGCGGTGGCCTAGCGGGTGACACAGCCACTGCATAGCTGGAGGCACACTGCCACTGGAAGACAGGCACGCCTGGCGAGCGCTGCTCAGGAACACACGCTATCAGAATAAAACGTTCAGTCAAGTTCCTCATTTTCACGTTGTAAAAAAGTCCAATGTAAAAGGAATCAAGCCTGAGGTCATTGACAGCTATGTTGTTTTTTTTATTAAACATGGTGGTCAATCAAAAGCATTTGAACTCTAAACAGAATAAGTACTTCAGCATCACGAAGAAACAATCAAATGAATACACATGCGCAATATAAACAACTTACAGAGGTAAAATGAAGGATTCTTGGCATGCTGGCTTTGACCCGGAGGGCTGCAGAGACGTAGACCTCAGCCAGACTGGCTACAGGCAGACAGGAACCAGCACACTCTGCCAGGTTCACGGCACTGAGGGCCATGTGCACTGCTGACAGGTGGCTACCATTCAGCTTACCTGTATGCACAGATATACATGACAATTTACAAGACAAGAAAATAGGATCCAAATGCTAGGACACCTTTCAGCGTCAGGTCTCACAAAACACTGATTCATTTTTTCCCCCTTCCAACTGACCTGTCATGTGTAGCTGGTGCAGGCGGTGGTAAACAAGGGCGGCGTCCCGGCTGCTTTTGGAGGCGTCCTCCTTCAGCGGGCGGTCAGATCGCAGCCCTCCGGCCCTGGCGGCCAGCCAGCGGCCCACCCAGAGGCGCTGGAGGCAGAATCTCAGCAGGGCCCAAAGGGCAGCACAACCCAGGTCCAGCTGCGAGATGGGCAGGGGACGACCAAGAGCCTTCAGACATGTCCACAGGTTCTGACTGGCCTGGGCAAAATCTCCCTGGGGAAGGTGAAAGAGACCAGTGATGATGACAGAAGAAAATATACATAGGGCCACAGATCTTTATTTTGGAATGTGATGCTGAATTTTAAGATGATCAAATGTCTCCAACATTGAATTTGTTTGTTGTACAAAAACCTACTCTTGCTAGGTCCAGATCAGCCTGCTTGCGGTGCCTCCAAAACAAGACGGACGATCCAGAGTGCGGCCTGGTTACGGGCTCTCCATACACCAACAGTCGGATCAGAACCCCCGACACCAGAATGCCGTTCAGCAGCCACACCAGTATCGTGGGCAGCATCCAGTCCATCCAGCCCCACGAGTCGGCTAAAGAAAACATTTCCCTTATCATCAAACGGAATCAGATTTGTACGGGATGTCAGACCGGCTCATTATTGTGACACTTCCTACTTGCTGGTGGCTGCGTTTTACCTGCCACATCCACTCCCAGGACGCTCCGTCCTGCGTGATGGGTGGCGGAGGCCGGGGCGCTCGCGGCTGAGCTGCCGCCAGATGAGCAGAGCAGGGCGGCCAGAGGGTTGAGGGAGAGAAAGAGGAAGGTGAAGGTGCACAAAGCCATGCGGGAGCGGTCCAACATGCCACCGGCGCTGCCGCCTGCCGCTGATCCCTCCAACGTGGCCGCACTCGGCTGCTGAATAAAAGAGACCACAGAGAAGCATATATGTCATATGTAAGCAGGGGGTTAAGGGGCAGTTGACTGATTTTACACTTACTAACACAATACAAGACTCTATTTTTGGTCCTGACCTTTGTGTCCTCCCCCATCGGACTGTCAGGCTCAGAGTCACTGCCACAGTGGGAGAAGGAGGTGGGGGAGCCCACATCGGAAGCCGGCGGCGTCGGCAGCTCATTCTTCACGTCGGCCGGTCCGTCCACCTCCATGGCAACCAGATCCTTGAGAGACTCTGATGAAGAGGAAACGGGAAGAAGTCAGAAGGGCAATAAACGGCACAAAAGTAAAAGACAGCTTCAACCCACAATTTCAGTTCTGTCACTTAAAGATAACAGCAGCCATCAATAGACATCATCACAAAAAAGGTCAACTAAAAAGACCCGCTTTCAAGAAAAGAAATTGCAGAGAAGCTGATATGGAATAACACAGACAGGTTTTCGGCACGTACTGTCTTTCTGGGCTGCCATTTTAAAAGCCATGTTCTCCTGTTTGAGCTTCTGGTTGGTCTGCTGCAGGTAACGGATGTAGTCGATGGCTTTTTTCAGCACTGCAGACTTGTTGAGCTATGAGGAAGTATCAACATAAAATATAGAAGTTTAGTTTCTTCACCTTCGCAATGCGTCTGCCAGATTTTTCGGTGAATTTAACTCCTTCCTACCTTGGCCTCAGTACCCGTCACCAGGTCTTTGAGCTCGAGGATTTTGTCGTTAATAGATGAGCGGTAGCGCTTCTCGATGGCGTTGTGGGCCGTGCGCTTCTCGCCCTTGTACGGCAGGCCGAGCGGCTTGGCGCTGATGGCGATGCGGTTGATGGGCAGCTTGTCGCCGTCCACCATGACAGGCATCGTGGTTAGGATGGTGCCATTGCCCATAAAGGCCTGAAGAGGTAAATGAAGAACGCAGTAAAATAAGGAAGGCAGTAATCAAAGTAATGCACAGTCAAATCATGTCCGCTCATTGTCTGGCCTACCTGCAGCGAAGCGCTCTGCACGGGGGTGGTGGTGGCCAGGGATGTGCCAGAGGCCATGGTAGTGACAATGCAGGGGTCGTGCTTCAGGGTGGTCAGCAGCAAAGACTCGGCCTTGATAAACTGGGGTTGGAGCAACACCTGAGAAGGCGCACACAAGTACCGTGAAGATGCACAGTTCAGCTTCTGCTTCCGTAACACACGTTTGGACGTTCTGATTGACACACTCACAGGTACTTGCTGCACGTGAGTCGCAATGCTTTGAACCGGGGGACTGGCTGACGTGACCAGGGGAGGAGACGTGGTGGTCAGCTGAGCCTGGATGGTCACTGGCTGAACTCTTGGAGGGGACGATGACAAGATGGTGGCAGGTTTGCTCACGCTGCTGGGACTGACAGCTGGAAAACAGTTGTGGTAAAAAAAGAAATGTGTAAAAGCCTAAATTGAAGGACGTAGAATTTAATGAAATACAGACACATCAACGATCCGCCCAGTACCTGATTTTAAATGACACAATAAAGCAATAAAGTGAAAGAGGTAATTTGTGAATTGCTTCCTCCTAATTATTGCACTATAATTAAATACCGCTGTAATATTTCAACACATTTAGTGGCATTGGACTTTGGCAGGCAAACTACCAGTCAATCATATTAATTTTGAAGTTAATTATTATACAAGAAGAAATTACAGAACAATATATCGTGGTATCAGCCAATATAAGCCACTTCAAAATATGACTAGTAATCGTTTTACTACGACGATGTGGCAGTTAGTGAACACTTGTGGTTGTCAGATTAAATGTTGCAATGTGGACCGATACAAACTGTGCCACTCAACGATGTGTAATGATTCAAACAGAATCAAGACCGCAACATTATCAATAGATTCAAGTGGAGTACAAATGATGTATTCTAATATTATGAACCTTGTTTCTAACATATTTTGGTAATAAATGTTTCCACAAGTGTATTGAAAAGCCAGCCAGATAAAAAGAGACATGTTTTCAATGACCTATTCAGCACAACCACTCTATGACGGTAAAGAAAATATGAGATGGAAGTATTGGTTTAAACGTATAATTAGTTATTAACACTGAACACAGCATTGGGTACTTGTTCATAAATGACTGTAAAATTCTAATGCAATTGCCGTGTTAACCCAACTAAAACAGGACACCATCAGGTGGCAGTGTCAACATGGTTGCTGCAGATGTGTAGAAATGGCGCACCTATACTCAAATATAGAAGACTGCTACAGAATGATCCCTGAAGAATTTGCACTACTCTACCACTTTCAAAATCGGACATCTGTATATATCCTGTACTATCTAACTTAAAAGCAACAGCATTAACCCTCTATGTCATCAAAGAGTGCTTACTTGTGTAGCTGTTCTGGGTGATGTAGGCGGTCCGGATCTGCTGAGGCGGCGCCTGAAGTTGCGTCTGCGCCTGGGGTTGGGGTGCAGGCGAGGCAAACGGAGTTTGGGGCGTAGAGATGAAAGCGGAGTTTGGTGCTGGTGAGCCATGAGGGGAAGCTGCCTGTGATGGGACAGGCAGGCTGAGAATGGGCTGAGGCTGCTCCACCTGGGGCTGCCTGAGGCTCTGAGCCTGCTGCGCTGAGGCTGGCTGTGTCCTCTGTGTGGCGGTGGGAACCTGGGCCAGGGGGGACTGCTGGAAGGTTGGAGGCTGGAAGGCCTTGTCCGGGGTGGAGGAACTACGAATGATGGGAGGGCCCAGGAGTGCGTCAAGGTGTGGGCTACTGCTTAGGATGGAGGAGGACAATGATGGTGCAGGAGGTGTGGTCGGGGGGGGTGGAGTCAGAGGTGTGGTGAGGGACTGGGACAATCCAGGAGGCTCTTCGGTAGTGGGAGCCCCCGTGTATGGAGGGTTATCAAAAAGTCCTCCAAACTCCATGTCTTGGTGGCTGATGAGCTGTAGCATGTCTGATTAGAGGGAGATAAAAAAAAAAAACATACTGAAGACAACTTTTCAGTAGCAGACTGGATCTCCTTCATTTCCATCTGCACTGCTTGTGAACCATTCATCATTCCAGATGTACAGTGTTTAATATATCAGAGAGCCCTGGATCAAGTAAGTAAGGTACACTTAACAAAATGTGTATTGCAGTAGGAGATAAGAATGCAGCAATTTTCCCAAGAACCAGCTAATGTCAGAATAGGGAACTCAAATACAGAAACAATACAAAAAATCTAAATATTAAAAATAAATAAGAGAAAAAATAATATTCCGATTTTTTTCCCCATCAACCTAAAATGAAAATCACCAAAGCTGGGACAGCTTAAAATAGATAAAAGAATTTACTGTAAAAACAGTGTGTGTGTTGCTTGTTGCTTTGTTGTTTTCCATACTGCATTAGAAACAGGATTCAAATACAACCTACATTTGAATGGATGAATGAATGAAACCTATTCAGAACTCGTGCTGTCATACAAAGTACAAAAGCTGTGGGCAAAACAAGCCGAACACTAGTCAAATGTACTGCATTGCTGGGACAGAAAAACTAAAGAATTTTGACCCTGGGGTTCTCATTAGCATGATTTGAACATAGAAAAAGAAAATTGTTTTATTATTTTATTTGTACTCCATTCAAACAGCGCTTGCTTAATGGGAGATGCTTATAAATTCCATCTTTCTCTCAAATTGACCAAATCTGTTTTTAAGTCTCCAATTGGGATGGTTGAAGCTCAACAGGATAAGAGTGTGTGTGTGCGTGTGTGTTGTGTCTGCGGAGAAAAGCAGCACCCTGGATTTAGTGTTTCGTATGAGGTGATCGCTCTTGGCCAATCAGAGCGCTTCTCAGAGACTCGCGACGCCAAGACAGGAAGAAGGAGCGCGCGCGCCGTGCGAGGTTACCATCGAGCAGCAGCAGCGAGGTTACTGCCGGTCAATGCGGGATGAGCACTGCGCGGCTCTGCACTCATATCGTGAAACACATTTTTTTTTAAAAGACCTATGCCTGTAAAGTCTTTGAAGGGAGAAGAAAAAAACAGTCTACGCCTTGTGTATGTATAATTATGTTTGGTTTATAAACCTGCGTTGCATCAGACGAGTGATCAGAATGCGACTTCTAGAATGTCTACGCCAGTATTAAGCTAAATAAATAAAGATATAGCGTTAACATTAATGCAAACCTTAAGCTGCACGCCTCAACAACAAACACGTGGAAATACATGCAACTTTAGCAAAGCAACGTTACATAGTATGCATCGAATTTAAATTCTCGCAAAAATGTAACTTATAGATATTTTTGAAGTGGGTCAACCGACGCAGTGAACCCGACTGTGAGCGATGAACGCGAGTAACCCCGGTCCCTGGAGCGGTTTAGGGGGGGCGGGGTGCCCTCACGTCCACCCAGCAGCATGTTAGCCTAACCGACTAGCTTAGCTAACCGGCTACAACATCGCACGGTGGCCAAGTTCTAAACGGTGTGGGCAAGACACGGCTCCGTAGACGCCGCCGCCCGTTGCCCCCCTCGGCCGGCGTACCGAGAACACTGACAGGCTGAGCCGTTAACGGGGGCTAACGTCCCGTAGCCGATTAAGGATTTTTCGAAGCTAATTAACGCTGTGACGTGAGCTTGAAGTCCTTCAAATTGGTCACTGCTGGTGATCAATGAATCGAGTTGTTAGAAATGGGCAAACAAGTTAAATTAAAAGGACGCGCATGGCATAGAGCGTTAACGGCGGGTCGCGAGCGGTGTTGTTGGTCTCAACGTAACCGGCAGTTGTCAAACACAAGCAACGTTAGCTGACAAAACACCGTTATATTCTCTCACCATCGATGTCGCTTAAGAGGGCCGTGTCAATGTCGCTGGGGTCATTTAGCGACAGTGTTGGATCCAGATTATCCAGCGAAGGATCGTCAAAAGACAGGCTGTTCATCTTTACTTTTGTGCCTGGCTTTTCGGCGTAGACTTGACTGGCTGAGGAGTCGCTCAGAGACGAAAAAAATAGGGACCCTCTCGCGTCCTTACATTTGCCAAGACGTAAGATCCCGAGGCTACTTGAGATGCGGGCAGAGTGAGCTGCAACTTTGTATTGATGTGTCAATTAGCTGCTGACTCCCACCCCCATGATGGTCCTGAGAAACTTGTTACACCGAGCTAAACACTGCAGCTCATTCAGTGCAAACGTGCTGCCGGCTGCAGGATGAAGAACACGCCCAGCTGATTGTGAGCGACAGGCTTGCCAGCCAATCCCTGCCTCGGTACCGGATTCCCACGTAGTTTCTCAGGGATGTTGTGATTATTTGACTGAAGAGATGACATTATGTGGAGCATGTGCTATATATTTTACAATAAAGAAAACGCACATTGAAACATTACCATTCATGTGCTCAACAAACTGTATACAGGATTAAAAAAAAAACTCTTTAGTCTAATTTACACGTGTCCACTGTGTATAAATGGAATATATTTTCTATAAACAAATAAATGAAGCCGTGCCCTTCATCTAATCACTGTGTATACCTTTTAATATCATGCATATATTTCAGGAAGCTTTGTTTTGAGGGAAACAGCATGGACGTGTTTATTGTGGTTTCGATCCTAACAGCCAATGAGAGCGCAGCATGCGTAAGTTAATATATGTCAAGTTTGTTCGACCCGAAGCAGCAGCTCCTCCTGTAGAACCAGTGAAAATCGACCAATGGGAAGCTCAGGAGCCGAGTGGGGTGATCTGACGTCACATCTCTCGTTCTAGTGATTACATCATGTATTTCTATCTTTCAACAGTAGCGGCAGCAGGGAAATAACCTGAAGGGTTACAGGTGAATTTACTAAATTGAATATGGAGGTTAAATGGTCATTTGGGGCCGAAAACATGAATAATGGATACTAAATATGTTCACTTAGTACAGTTAGATATCTTGCTTATTATGTAAAGTATTTTATCTTCCAGTAAAAATAAACTTAAATTATTAGCATGAAACATTATCATGGCATACTTCATTTACGGATCAGCATCAGCACACTTAGTGAACACTAAGGGGGAACTCCACAAAAGCATGGTGGGGAATCAGGTCAGTGACCTAGAGTAGCACTACAAAGTTATCCTAGGCGAATGGAATAAAATCAACAGCCAGTGAGCGAACCTGGTGATGTTGGTGATGGGGTTCGTGTGTAGACACACATCTTATTCACGTTCGTCTTGAAAACAAACTTACCAAAGGAAACGCATCTATATAACATCTACGTGTCAAGATTTGTTGACGCTTCGCGGTCTAACCGTCCCGTAGCAAAAAGTGGGGAAAATGTCCATGAACCCCCAATACGGGATGGGATGTGAGGCTCATCGTCACGTGACACAGAAGGCCATTGCAGTGCAAGACTAAGAATAGGTTGCATCAGCATGCTCAACGTGAAAAAGCAAGAGATTGCCCCGGAGCCCTCGGTTGTACAATAACCACAAACAGTTGTGAGGTAGAGGTCACGCATTGCTAGTGTTTTATTGGGCAGTTATATATACGTGCATTAGGTCAAAACTAAAGTCTGACCATTAGTAATGGCAGCGAACGGCACAGCCAAACAGACATGGGACCGGCAACAGACAGAAAACAAGCCTCTCTTCCATGTCAGAGGAACATTTGCTCACTGTTCCGCTTCTTTAGTACTAAAAGACATTCAATAGACATTTTGAGATAGCATGTTGCAATCAAAATCCAAGCTTCATAAAAGCAAGTAACACAATACACTGTTACAGATCCAAAGATACGTAACGTAAAAACAGAAAAATACTCGAGTTCCCTTTTAAAAAGGATCTCCCGTTACATATTTAGTCATTATTTTTTGTTCAGCTTGCATTTATTTCATTAAAGTGAACATTGGTTGATTGTAAATGTAACGCTATTATCTCAGTTACTTGGCAACCATATTAAACCCATAAACCATATGTAACCATACAGCATTAAAAACATTAAAGCTAATTACTCATTCCTTTTTTAAGTAAAATACATTTAAATATTTAAAATAATGATTACACTGACAAAAATCATCGGAGAAAAAGTGTTTAGAGGTGATGGTGGAAGATGGTGGGAGAATTGGTGCGGACAGAATTGAGTTTTGCTTCAAAAGAAAAATGTGAGTCGGAGCCACTTTGTTGAATTGTTTGGCAGCAGCTCCGACGGGAGCAGAGGAATCATACCGGAATGAAAAAACATCAATAACCAAAGCACGTCTTTGACTTCACAGATCAAAGGAAGTCCAATTGGGATTGTTTGCTGCATGTTTCATGCTCAATCACAAAAAGATAAATGAGGGGATCAAATCATACACAAATCTCTCTGCTGCCTGGATATTACAAGCCTGAATGATTTTAGCCAGATACAAACTAAATTTCCTGTATTTTGATTTATACAGATTACAGTTCAAACTGGAGCTCTAGCTATATTAATACAGTGCATTACTGTAAGTTATAGTTGATTATGATGCCAGCGATGCTGATCATTTTAATGCCATATTGTGTCTCACATCTGTTTGTTATTTCTTTAAATCTCTGGAAAAGGTTCTCCAATCGTAAGTGTAACTTCCCTTCAATCCGCGTGTATGTGAACAAGCCCCGCAACGACAGTGACTAATGTTATGTGCAAAATAGAGTCAATCTATAGACCATTTCCCCATCCCATAGAAAAATAGTAACCATCTTGTAAAGACAAAAACTTAAGACTAGTTGCTTCAGAGATTAATATAACAGGGGGAGGAAAATGATCATAATCCCTTAACATCCATAACACGTGTTTTTTTTAACAGGCCAAATTCAATACTGGTTGGTCATCACAGCCTCAGTTTTCTTTGGAATGGCTTAAAGTGTTTGCAATTGTTCAAGAGCGACTCATTTGTTGAAGCCGTTCAGAGGGCTGAAAAGACTCGTGGGAAATATTACATGGACACATTCCTTCCTGTAGCCATTTGAAATACATTTCAAAGAATCCTAACAAGTGCTTAGATTTTAGTTTTTTTTTATCCCCTTGATAACCCACTCTTGATAACCCCTTGCTGGCTTATCAAGAGTAGCTTTATATATTATATTCCTTGCTGTCAAAATGAGCCTTTTAACGTAAGCCCTTTGTTCCCAAAGCTTTAGGCAAATTGGATAATTTTATTTGTTGCCATTTCACACATACCTCAGCATTAAAAGCAAGACTAGAGCTCTAACTGGAGTATTTTGTGGAGGAAACAAAATAAGAGCCTGGATTGAACAAACCATTAAAACAAGAAAAGCATAAATTAGCAATTAGCTGAATGCAGTCCAACAACACAATGCAATCCTAAATTGTATTCTTTCCATTCTGCCTCAATGCACCTGCTGTGAAGTCCTTCATTTGACCTCGCAATCACATGCCACCGAGTTTGCTCGTCTTCCTTTGGTGGCGCATTACACAATGAGATGCAGGGCCGCCAGACACATTAACACACCCTTATTATAGTAAAACGCAACGCGCTTGTGCGCCGCGAACATGTTGGACCTCTTCGCGTTAAAGCAACACTGCGGCAAGAGAATAACGATGAGGTGAAGATCACCTGCTGCGCCGCTGCCAGCCGGCAGGAGGGACGGGGGGGACGGGGACGGGGGACTGTTGGGGAGGCATCGTTTAGGGCGGGTGCCTTTAGATGCCCCTGCAGAGCCACCGGAGGTTCTCCAAGGAGAGTCTACAGGGCAAAGAGGGCGTCCTCCGTCCGTTCGGCCTTCTTGTTGGAGCCGGCGGGGGCACGAGCGGGGGGAGCTCCGGGGGGAGGCGGCAGAGGGTCCGGGGCCGTTGTTCGCTCCTCCAGGAACTTATCAAACTCTGATGAAAGGGGAAAACGTTTCAACAAAACTACCCCCACACGCACACACACACATTAGAGTGCGTGGAACACATGCAGCTGTGATCAGTTCATACCTTCACTGGTCACCCCTTCCTCAGCAGCATCCCCTTTCTATTGAGAAGGGGAGGAAAAAGTCACGAGACAATGTAGACAAATTGGCATCATTAACGACGTTATACTTGTTTCAAAATATGTAAATAAACCTTATTGTACAGTCGGCAACACACGTGTCAAACACCGGTCGAGCTTAAACAGACTTCATATTCTATTCAATGATGAAGAACCCGTCGGCCATGCGTCCATCCACACTTTTCACAACCTTCTTGAGGGAGACTCCACAGCCTCCACATGCACATGTTAGGGAAGCTCATCGCACCCATTTTTGACTGGAGCACCATTGGTTCGTCGTTAGCATTTGTAAGTTGAACCTCCAGCTGTTATATGCAAGTCATTGGTGGAAACAGGGTTAGGGTTAGAGTGAATGAGAAGATGTGACAGGAAACTAGAGTCAAATGAATCCGGGTTATACAAGATGACCGAGATGCGCTATGGAAGAAAAAACAAAACCGAGGGGTGGGAGGGAGGAAGGAGTGAAAGGAGAGAAAAAGGATATAAATCAAGATAAAGGAGTCTCACCACGTCAGCACAGAGCCACTCCTCTATGTCATCCATGACAGAGGACTGCGATACGGGGATCTATGGAGCAAACCGAGGGGCAGCACCACAGCCACACAACAGAAAGACACCCGAGCCCCGACAACAAAAAGAAAAGTTGTAACACAAACAACAAAAATTGTAAAAGTAAATCACAAGAACAGGAGTCACCAAGTTCTCGGAGAGGAAGATGATGAGAGAAAAACAAATTAAAATGAGGAGATGAAGAGGATTTCCTCAAAAGACACACTCAAGCCCTGTGCCTTTATCGTTCTGTGCAACAATCTGCTACTCAGACGTCGTCAATGAGTTCAGGAGTTCCCAGGTTGCGTATCGCTCTCATTAGTTCTGTAGTGCTGACACGGCGCAACAGCTGCCGACTAATGTCAAGCAGCAGTGTTAATTATTCCACATCATTAGTTAATTAGCAAATTGCTTGAACGTGATTAAGAGATTGATTGGCTGGGAAAAAGCTGAACACACAAGGGGGAGGGGGGGACTGTCGAGACGGCAGGGCAATCCCGCCACACACACATACGTGGAGCGCACACATACGTGGAGCGCACACACTGCGCGGCGTGCAGTGACTGACGGCGTGATGGCGGCGCGTCAGGGTGGAGGGAGTGTGTTCGGGTTCGCGTGGGCACCGAACCAACACAGTGAATCAGGACCGGTAGGAACGTGTGTTGAGAAAGCGGAAACTTTCACAGTGGCTCACGTGCATCTGCGATGAGCTGCATTCAGGGACCGTTGCTAAAGTTGCTGTAGAAAAGTTGTGACGTTTCTCACTGCCATGAGGTCAAAGTTTACGATTCAACTTGGGAAATGACATCAAGCTTCCTTTTAGACTACAAGAACACCGATGGGGTTTCCTCGTCTGATCACAGGTAACGCGGTGGAGAAGCTTTTCAAAATAAAATGCCAGGCCAGTGGAAGTCATTCACAGGAAAAAGAAAAACGCATGCAGCTGTGTGGGCGAGTCTCATCGGGACTCCCACTGATAAAACTTCAAAGTGTTATCATTTATTTCATTTTTTGTGTTAGAAATATTACAACTACTGATCTATATGTCAGTTGATGTTAAATGTTAAATATAGGGTATTATTTATGATCCAAAGACAGTTAGAGGACAACTGACAAATACTTTCTGCTACACAGCCTGTCACCGTCCCTTATTCTGTTATGTTTCGATGACAGGTCATTAGTCCCTCAACAATCGTCCTCGTTGGTGATTTAACCTTGCTGTGTAGCATAAGTATTTGTACTTCCCTGCTGTTTTAGAGTGTGACCGTTAAGAGGTGAAGCGAGCGAATGGGAGATCCCCGGTGACCCGTCAAGCTCATTAACCCATCTGTAAACGGCTGGCATTAAAGTGGAAAGCATCAGCAATGGGTTTAGTGTTTAGGGGTCGTGTCCGTGTCTGTGGAGTGCAATGAAGGTGGGCAATATGGACATTAACCGATACCATGATACAAGTCATTCCATCAATGCTGCAGAAATACATTGTCTTCTACAAATGAAATAACTGGTTGTATCAATAATACCAGAGAATTTATGTTTTGGTTTAATCCAATGAATTCCATACGTAAAACTGAACTAATCAAACGTGCTTCATCGTGCAAACGTTACTATGGCAAGTCCTGTTTATGGACCAGACACCTGCATGACCTAATACAACCATTTGAAACATATATTAAAGACATAGCTGTCTCAGCAGAGGCGGCCTTGGTTGAACTTAAAGGTAGACAACTCCTAAAAGATCCAGACTATCTACTACCTTTAAGTTATCCTCATATTGCCCAGCACCAACATCTGTACTGACATGGAAAAACTCGCTTATGGTTTCTTGCTACACTGGCTTGTTCAGGCATTCTGGGGACAGAGCAAACGAGAGAACGCTAGAAAGAGCAGCCGGTGAGGGTTATGGATGATGTCGCAGCAGGTTGCGAGCAGGGAGGTGTGGGGGGGGATGGACACGAGGGAGGGGTAGGAGGACACACTGAGGATGGAGTCCTCACCATTCCTTGGGTAATAAGCCAGCTGTCTATGGGCAGCTCCTGATCTGCTGGGTTATCATCCCCTTTTACACTCAGCTGAATCAACAACAGAACAACACCTTACACAAGAGAAGAAGGAGAGCAGGCCCCAGCACAGCACAGCGTGCAGAGAGACAGACATATGCAAGAGGAGACTCATTTAAAAAAGGGGTTTATTCCATAAAGATGAGGAAAATAAAGTGGAGAAAAAAAGAAATAACTCCCTAAAGGACGTTACGAAAGAAAAAAAGATTATATGTGCAATCATCGTGCGTGTGTGGCAGCTCAGAATTGTCTGTGTACATATTGCCGCAATTCAAATATATTGCAATGTGTGCATGAGGTGCAACCACAAAAATCAAACTTTGATTTAGTGTACAAATTGATTTTGATCAAAGTTCACGTAACTGTAGATCAGAGAGTATCACAGACCAAAGGGCCGTGGCTCATTGGCCACATAAATAACACACACAGTCCTTGTTTGGGGGGGGGGAACGCTGCATACAACTACATTTGCATCGGTGTACTCACCCCTCCTGTGTTCTGTTGTCTCACATCCAAAGCCGAGGCCAGACTACCCAGAGCCTGAGGGTCCTCATACTTTACACTGCGCACACAGCATAAAAAAGGTGTTGTTAAGATCATTAAAATGTTGACAATTTGTCATTTCGCCTTTAAGACGCAGCAAAGTGGAGACAGACCGAGAGAGGGAGGAAGATGAAATGCAACAATCTGAGTAAAAGTAACTGATTAAATCAACATGAAGGTGACGCCGCAAGAATCCTAAAATATAGCGAGTCCGATTTGAGGGACAGCGGGCACAACAATATTTAATAAGTGTCCATGTGTAGATTTTATTTTAGATATAAAAAGAAAGGATCAAAATTTGTGCTGGCCCCGGAAGCAAAATGAAGTCTCGACCTACTTTTTACGCTGCTCGGCCAAAGAGCTGCTCCTGGTCTGAGCAAACATGTCAAAGTCATCGTGGTTGCGGCCCGGGAGGGAGGACAGGGTCGCGCTCACGCTGTCTGAAGCTACATCTGGAGAGGAGGAGAGGAGCATTGGAGGATTATCTATGGAGACTCTGAACAGAACAGCTACACATGTGAGCTCCGGCCAGAGGGGGGAGGGGGGGGTCAGGTTTACCGCTCCGGCGAGGCAGAGGTGCTCTTACCAATCCCAGCCAGTGCAGAGGAGAGCGAGGCCGTGCCGGGGTCACGGGCCGGGGAGGCGGTGGCCCCGGGTGTTGATTTGGGTGGAGAGCTACAGCTGATCCGGGGCGTGACCACGGCAGGGGAGCCTGGGCCCAGGTCTATGAGGTTGTCATCTGTGGCCTCGTTCAACATCTGGAAGGGAGGGAAGAGTGAAGAAGTTCAAATGTACATCACTGTGGGTTTTCCCTCGCATACAAAGAGGATACATTGGATCTACTAACGCTACAGGATAACATGGAGGGTCACTAGTTGTGGATGGGAGGAACACAAACAGCACGGAGGGCAGATGTGCGCGACAGAAGGACGGGAGGGAAAGGGGCCGACATTTAGTTTCTATACTACTGATGGGGGCGGAGCTTTAACGTGTTAACATTCATCGGCATGTTCATCCCGGCACAGTGGCGGGGACTGAACTTGGACCGTACTCACCTCTATCAGCTGGCCACAACACAAAACAGACAGAGCACACAGAAAGATCAACAGGGTGCAAACACACACACGGCTACGTGGGACGCAGAGATGCCCCGACCGCCTGGCAGCTCGCTGATACTGGCAAATGAGCGCTCTAAATAGCAGCTCTGGACGAGCTCTGCTTTGCTCTTCCAGGTCTGATGAAGCTAAAAAATGCAACTTAAGTTGAATAAGTTAATCATTAAGTGTTGCGGTGGAATTCTGGGGTGGATTGTGTACGCGATCATAAATAATGTGGTAAAAATAACACAAAAAAAAGACACATTCCTGGAAACATGCACACAAAGCCGGCGTTCTTGAGACAGTCTGAGTGTGGGGATGTGTGTGTGTGTGTGTGTGTGTGTGTGTGTTGGACTTACCCCGTTGTTCTGTGCGGCTCTCCCCGACCGGTACCTCTCGTACCTGTGAGCAGCACGAAACCTTTGAACGTTTTACCCACAGCTTTGTCTGCTTCAAATGCTTACACATCTTTCATCTTTCAGAACCCTCATGAAAGAGACATTTTACCACTTTGAAGGCAGAGATAGTAAAAAACAAAAAGTCTTCACCAAGCTCTGTAAATTTGTGCGGTTTGAAACTGCAAAAATGTGTTGGGTCGAGCTCGCTTTCCAAAAAAAATAAAAAATTCATTGCCATGTTATGGGGAAATAGATAAAGTAAATAAGTCTCCTATTTAAAAGCATGAATTGATACACAGTTAGAAAATATGTGGAGTCTTGATCGCACACATTATGCTGGTAAAAAGTTCTGTTTGATGGGCAAACCATTGAAAAAATATATTTTTTAAATGTTCCATTGTATGGCTCTCACGGACCCCTTAAATCAAAACCAAAGTTTTGTATTTGTGCTGTTGGAACAGATTGCATCTGACGGAGCGCACCTGTCGTATCGGAGGAAAATGTTGTTGAGGTCGTCGTTGACGTGCAGCAGCTCCTCGGTCACTTCCTCGTTGGAGACGCGTGAAATCAGCTCCACTACTCTCTGCTGCATCGCCCGGCATGTTCGGTTCAGCTCCTTCAGGGGTTGGCACACAAACACAAAAGTTGAATTGATGGACAAACAGACAGAAAACACACCAGCGGAAAAGCGGGACTGTAGAGAATTGAATCCTTTCACAGCATTGTCTGAATACGAGATAATTAACTGTACATAAATATAATACAAAACATTTCAATTTGAGCCATATTTTCTCAGATGTGTAAAAACGTAGTGCAAGTTTTTTGTTTTTACTTGAGCAGCTGGGGAAAGAAAGGGAAGAAAGGAAAGGGTCCCAGATCCCTAAAAACCGACACTAAATACCCGAGTGGATTTGCCCTGAGGCGATTTAACGCTGCATGAGTTTCTCTGCGACTGGTCGATGGCCAATTTTCCCACAGACACTCGCCTCTTGATGCTGTTGCGGGCGAGCGGAGCCTTTACACTGAAAACTAAAGGCGCTGCGCCCCCTGGTGGTTCAGAATGGCTCCAACGCTTTACAGTCGACACACCACGTTGGAAAGCTTTCTGCTTTCTGAATATTATATTTTACAGTGTTGGGAACTCACTTAGTTCATTAGCCTGCATGAGCCTGTATTCATTTACATATTTTAGAGACCCTTTAAGATGAAGAAATCTAATCTAATTTTGACTCTTGATCCAATTTTCAACCTTCAAACCCATAAAGTCAGATTTATTTACATAATAATTAACTTTGTTGAAACATTTTAAGTTGTGACATTACTGGTTAAAACCCAGTAGGCCTCAGGATTTACCTGAAGCAGTTCAAGGTCAGAGGCATTTTCCTGCCCGGGGACCATCTCTGTTAGCATTTCCGACATGACTTTGGTGTTTCCTCTCACTACGTCCAGCTCACTGCGCAGCCGGGCAATCTGAAAGCACAAAAAAGGTCAGAGGTCATTCGGACACGTTCAGGATCAGCGAACATCTGCTGCAGATGTTCCCCAAGGAAGTCGGTTGAGTTGGCCACAACGTCCAGCTGAAATCTGCTTTAACCCACACACTTCACGATTGAATTGCTAAACCCTTTACGAGCAACACGTGCAGCAGTGAGTTCATGTTTTGGGGTCATGGGGTCATGCTGTTGAAGCCCCTCACCTGTTCGGGGGTTGCCGTGATGGGGCTGGGCAAGAGGGAGGCCTGTGTGGTAGATGTAGGGGCCAAGGCGAGAGACGGGGACGGTTTAGGCGGCCCGACGGCGGGTGAGACCGGGGCCAGGTACTTGATCATGGCTGGGTCCACCTCTGCTGTACCCTGGAAGTAAAAATAAAAATACCCCCTAAAATACATTGCGTTGTGAATGTAGATGTGCGTCGCCGCTGTATGCGCGTCTCTCCCTTCTTACCCTCTGCGGTGTGTGGATGGGAGACAATGCGTCCAGGTCGGCCATCGGGAACTCAATGCCTTTCCTCTTCAGTTCCTCATAAATGTGGACCACACCAGTCAGATCGGGGCAACTCCTGAAGGCGTCGGCCCACGACTGCCACACGCAGACGGACATTGTGTTGGCAAATTATGACAAAAAAACAAATTCAAGTGGAAACCGAAACCTCGGTGCACACAAAAGGCGGCGATACCTGTATCAGCGCCAGCACTTTGTCTTGTACGATGGTTGGCGGATTGGTCTTGGGCGAGATGATTTTGACCAGCACACCATCGATGAAATCCCTGTTGGCCACCTGGACATGAAACCGGCGGCCGCAGTTTTTCACACAGGTCTCCAAAACCTGCAGAGAAGGAGAACATTTAAAACAGAGCAAGAAGCCTAGCCGTTGGTTTTTAAGTGGCAGCTGAGGAAAGGAGTTCTCAGTCGGGGGGCTTTGATCACGCACGAGGCGTGTTCACTTGCGGGGCCGGATACGAGCGCGGCTCAAAAGGCACGGCTGCTATGAACAACATGAAACAAGACACAAACACACGGCGCCGACAGTCGGAGACATATAGCGGAATAAATTGAGCGAGAAAAAATAAATAAAATTAAAAAAAAACAAGACCCTAAGGAGGTTTCGTGGGCTTCATGCTACGTGAAGTTCTTTAAAAGGAAGCCAAGACACCGAAAAGCAACAATTACTCGTTGCGAAAAAAAAGCTCACCGTGAGCGCCAGCATCACTTCTCTGTAGTTCTTGTTGCCCCCGAGTCTCTTCTTCAGTGCCCGCGTGGCGTCTTTGGGCCTGCGGGGGGAAACAGCAGCAGAGACACAGCTGGATGAGGCGCCCCGCTCTGAGCAGTAGGCAAAGCGTCTTTGACGCTTTGTTGGAATTAATCATTTCTCCGCGCCGCGATAACAGATGCCCGGCGGTCTGTCAGCGTCGCCGGTTGACTTAGACAGAGAAGTGCCGCCGCGCACTCTGTTTCCCCGTCTTCTCACTGGGGGGAAGGTTTTCTCTCGAGGCGAGATCAAAGCTGTCCGTGTGATAAGACTTCACACTGCAGACGATACAAAATTAGCCTCTACAGACTCTACAGTCTTTTTTTTTCACTTTAAATGGTGCACTTGTTTTATTATATCTCATTCCAGCAACCTCTAACACATTCTTTTAAAAACTCTGGAGCTAACCAGACACTGTGTAACTCGCTGGAACAACTTGTAGACAAGATGCTCAGTGTTCTGTTACTCTGCGAGGCCCTGACAGTGACAGAAAGGGCCCGTGTTGCATGCCAAGACAATGAGCATGTGTAGGCATGAAGAATGTAAAAAGCAGGGGAACAACAGAGAAAAGGGAATGTGGGGAAAAAAAAAGACAGATTTCATTATTCCCGAAAAAGGCTCTCTGCAGAACGGCGACGTTGGCTGGGATCCCTTGACGACTACATTTAATTCACACTGTTAAACTTTACATCATGATATCATTTAATTCAGAGCTGCATCAGGAGCAGTTATGGTCTCTTGAAACGAAGGCAGATAAGGATTAGGGTTTAAATTATATAGTGACGGGAAGTATTTCCCTGCAAAATATTGATTAAGGCGAACGAGAAGCCAACAAAGATTAACTGTCGGAGGAAGCTCACCCCTCATCCGTCTCGTTTATGATATCGCAGATCTCCATGTTGAGGGTCCAGTCCTCGTTCTGTAGGCCTCCGTCTGTGGCCCTCTCTGGAGGAAAAACACAAAACGCATATTAGAATTTAACAGTTCATCATATTGTGTCTGTGCCTCTACATTTTTGTTTCCTTTAGGGGTTCCGGCCCCCCTTAGAAGTGAATGTTTACTTCATTACAGTCTTCACTCTAGATTAGTCTATACAAGAACCAAACAGCTGTTCCTGTATTTATAGCAACATGTTTTGTAAAACAGGAAGTTGGCAGTTTTTCCTTGTGTTATTTACAACACGTTGTGTTATTTATGTTTTCTCTCCTGCTGTTTTCTTGTGACTATTATCTGTGAAAAGTGTGATATAAATACTTTATACTTACTTACTTTTTTACACAGATCTGATATTGTTCGCGAAGATATGCAGACAATAGAATAGACAACATTTGATCTGACTAATCAGCAATTAATTCATCTTGGCTGCCACTGAAGTATCTTTGACTTGAGATACATTGTTCACTGTTTACGAGGCGCCAGCCGCCTCGCTATGGATTTAGTTTGATCAGATTTGATTGACAGCAACCAAACAAGCCACTGCCCGTCATCACAAAGGTGCTAAATTCGGATTGGTCAAACTAGAAAAACAGAGGGAAAAAATACACAAATCTCTCGCCAAACAACCAAACTGATAGAACTTTGGAAAATAAATCCTTCAGAGAATACTGAGCTCAAGCGGGTAGATGAAGAAAACAACATGATTTCTTCCTTTGGTGACATTTGTTAGAATAAGAAAAAAATCTGAGTAACGACAATGAAACCTAAAAGAAAAATCCACTACGCTATTGCAAATGAAGTTGAACATGTTTCGTTTGCGAATAGTTCTTCATTTTGAGGTATGAAACTCACTTATCAGAAGGGGGGCGGGGGGCATGAAATAAAATGTCATCCGCCACCTGTTGCTAAACTAGAGGACGCAAGCAGCCAGCTGGAGAGCCGCTCGTGGCTGCGCTCTGGGGACAACAGCTGGGGGGAAAAGAAGGACGGAGCCACGGAGGCTTTTTACACTCACGCCCTATTAATTCAATCTCGGCAGCAGGATATAACGTGATCCGGGCCGCCAGGAGCTGCAGCGATGAACTGCCAGCGCAGTCATCAGCGCGTTCCTCGCTCCGTCTCCTCCTTCCTCTGCCCCCCCACCCCACCCAGGATCCATCCATCATGTCAGTGAGCTGATATCTATCAGGCCCGCTTGTCATCTGGGGAACAGACGAGGGAGGTGGTGGCGGGGCGGAGGGGGGGGGGGGGGGGGGTGCTGTGACCGGGTTTCCTATGACTGACACTCGATAGATTCTCATTAGACCATTGTTGGGCAGGAGGGAACTTCACCTCCTGAAGCCCAAGGGCCCCCAGCAGGCTGTCACGGCCAGGCAAAGAGCCTCTCACTGGGGCCTCGGGGTGGGGGTGGAGGGGGGGTGGGGTCCTTCTGGGACGCTCAACATCCAACGAGCCAGGCAGCCATGACTTATTCATGCTCCATCTTCCATCTCTGATCAACTTGTCACAGACTTGGCAAACACCGAGAGACGGGCATCTTTTTCTTCTTTTTTATTAAAATCCTTAAAGTCCCACCTTCTGAAAATAAAAAAGGAATTGAAATGTGGGCCGCATCTATAAATACTGCGCGCAAGTGTGGGGCACTAAATCAGCTACGGCCACTGGGATATCCCTTGTAATCTCCTTAATGGATTGTAAGGTCAAGACGCGGGTGAGCACGAGGCGGCGGAGGAGAAAAGAGACAAGAATTAAAAAAAAAATAATAATAATCTCCTCATGTAAAATCAGCTGGAATAATGAACAATTGCGGCCTTCCTAATGACGTTAAATGGCCTCTGAGTGCGTTCATTCATTCATTCGTGGTGTTGTGTCACTGCTGGGAATTGAGCACTGAAGCCAGACGGTCACATGACTTTGACGGTGGCAGGCGGTGCCATCCACTGCAAATGTGCCAGTCACTGCCTGACGGACAGGAGAAAGGTCACGTTCATTTACCGCCTCCATCCCCTCCGCCGCCCTTCTCCGTCACGGAGAAAGAGCGATTTCATTTCCTCACAATGCATCGCTCAGCACCAGTTCTCTCCATCTCTCCCCGAATGTTTTCAGGTGAGCGGATCCGCCAAACAGAAAGCCTTCGGTACAGCGACGCGGCCATCCGTGAAATGCCTGCGACCTCAAAAGACAAAAAAGGCCCGAGAGGGCCGTTGTGCACGACACGGCACAGAGCAGCTGACCGCTGGGTGAAGGACAAAAACTCACCACCGGGACCAGGGAGCAATTCTAAAGCCCTTCATCTCCTGCAGACGTCCATCCTCCTAACTGTGTCCGATGCACCGGGGAAGCTTGAGCAAAGGGCAACATGGTTGTCTACTTCCCATTATTAGGAAATGGAAAACAGATTAGGTAACAACATGGGAAAGTCCGTCATGTACATAGACGGGACTTATTTTTTGGATAAAAGGGAAGTCAAAGAATATGTAGTGCTTTTAAGTTGAACACAAGTCAACGTTGAGACAAATCAATGTTTGTTGGACATCTGTTCGGTACAAACTTAACTGAACAAGAATGAAAGAGGAAGTGCTTCTTGTGGGTCATCATACACAACTGTGTACACACACGCATTGGAAATCAGTTCAACAAATGAGGAAAGTACAAATGTATGAGTCTAACACAGGAGTCAAGTCAAGATAGCCAAGTATCATCCAGTTATTGTTATAATCTACTGTGGTGGGTGACTTTCAGGCAATATCGAGAGGAACACTTCCTCCTCAATGAGCCTCACTGGATTTCAATTCAACGGATGTGAAAACAACAACAACGACGACAATCAACGTCATCAGAACAAACTCTCTCATCATCATTCCGTAAGGATGAACGCATAGAAGCGAAGCGCTGCGGCAGGACACACGTGTATATTCTGCTCTATGGAAATATGGAACTCGGCTCTGACACACACACACACACACACACACACACACACACACACACACACACACGGAGCGTCATCTGTGCTTTAAGTTAAGTTAGGTAGGTTAGCGGGCTAATATTAGCTGAAAGCTAACTCGAAGTAGATGACGGTTTTTTTACTGCGATGTTGCCTGCTCGCCATTTTCGTGACGTAAACTGTCCGAACGCGTTCAAGTGATGTACAACGGAGAAAGTATCACATATTGAATACACAATACGTACCTATACATTGGCCCACGGGAGTGCTGTACGGATTTCCAAGTAAGAACTCCATTTTGACAATAAACAATCGGCTCAGGATTGACGGGGGCTGAGGCCCAGAGGTGGTGCTACTAAGTCCCGCCCACAGAGGAATGCTATTGGTCCATGAAAAGGAGCGTTTAACGCATTTGGTTAAAATCAATGTCGCTCATGTTTAACAGCTGAAGCTACATTCAACAAACCTTTCAGAACGTCGGGGTATTTGTGTCTTAATGCCACTAAGAACGAGTCCGAGTATTTATCCTCTGAATATTTAAAACATATATGTATAAATTGACAGACAGTTTTGTACCTTCGAAAAGAAAACAACGGTGCCCTAAATCTTAGTATCAACTAAGTATCATTGTTACTTAAGGTTGTGTTACATGTATAGTTAAGAAAGTATTTTTTAACTGAACTTTGATTCTTCGACTGATTCAAAGTTCAGTGGCGTACTTGAATGCAGCTTGAAGTCAGCCGGTTGCTATGTTACAGTGTTGTAAACAACGTTCGGAGTTTGGAAGGTTTCATCGTGCTGACGTTCTGTAGCGGCTGAAATCTTTTAGCTGAGGCTCAATTCTGTGATAATCGTAAGTAATTCGTTAATGTTGGCTTTTAAATGTTTTTTCTGCTAGCTTAATTAATTAATGCAGGTAAACTGATGTAATTAAAATATTCATATGTGTTTTTCTTGTTGTTGTGCATCATCAAACAAAATATAAAATTCGCTATACATAATCAGTTTTTCTGTTATTTAGATGGATAAGGGGATTTTTATGGATGAGGAGATTCTACGGAAGGCCATAATGGAGGAAGCTGCTCAAGATCGGGTTGAGTGTATTTTCAAGACGGATGGAATCCACTTCAATGAAATTCTTAAACTACGACTGGAATACAGAAGTGAGAAGGAAGAGAAAAACTAATCAAACAAATATCAAAAATTGTCTATTTGTTTGGATTTGTAAAAGCTTGTTTGCTCACAGACATCCTGATGATCAGCCACTTATGGGAATTCACATCTTTGTCCAGACTGGATTTGAACAGCAACCTCATAGAGAAGATTGAAGGCCTGGACCGTCTGGTTAATCTGACACGGCTCAGTAAAATGATCCTTCATATTTACATTCTGCTCATGCTTTCAGTAGTAATTGTGCATGCATTAGCAAATATGTAGAGAACCTCTTGATATTAGCAAAGAAACCACCTTTAATAAAGTTATTCTGAATATGTCTTTCAGATCTGTCATTCAACAAAATTGAGAAAATTGAAGGTCTCAGGTACTTGCAGAAACTTGAATTGCTGAATTTGTCCAACAACAGAATCTCTGTTATTGAAAACATGGACACACTTGAGAAACTCACTCATGTCTTCATCGCAAACAACCTCCTTGGACAGTTGGAAAACGTAACATATTCCCTCATATCATGCTGCATTGCACGTATTGAGCAGCATTTGTGTTTTAGCATTCCCAGATTATTACATGACATAATGCTGACATCTAACACAACTTAAATGCATTTAATAGGTTGTCTATCTCAGGAGGTTCAAGAACCTGTTCACCGTCAACTTGTATGGAAATCCTGTTTCTAAGAAAGACGATTACAAATATTACATCGCAGCGCACCTTCCAGACTTGACTTGCCTAGACTACAGATTACTCGATGAGAAGACGGTAAGCATTAAGAGTGGTGTGTTTAGACTCGATGCTATATTGCAATCAATAGTCTTCTCCTTTTAGGCCTTTTTTATGAATCCTTTTCTTTTAAAACACGACAATACTTGTTTGGAAATTCTGGCTATTTACAATTTGCAGCGTTGACACTGTGTGACCAAATCGTATGTGTCTGTGTGTACAGAAAAAAGAAGCATCTAAAAAATACTGCCATGTCCTTGAAGAGATCAAACGCGCGGAGCTGCAGATGCAACAAGCCGATGAGGTTGAGCAAAGCCGGGCAGCTGAAGCCAAATTACACTCGGTAGGATGAGGCTCCCACTTGGAGAGCCACATTATTTTCAACGCTCGTAACAATTCATAATTTTGTATACATGCTGTGTTCGTGATTTAAGCTATTCTCCCCCTCAGGAGGCCTTTGTGGAGTTCCTGAATGGCTCCTCTCTGTTCGATAGCATGCTGAAAGACGATCCAGAGGCAGAGACACTACACCGTAGGCCTGAAGTGGCTCTTCTGCTTCAAACATATCCTGTGCTGTCTTGACTTTCCGATCCATGCAGGTGAATTAGTAATGATTTAAATTCCTTGACCCCATGCTTACATTTGAACGCCAAATGGTGGCGCTGTGTATGCAGTTATTTGAAACAGGTTTGACTGAACACAAGCGAAGACAGACAGAGGTGGACTCCTTCTTCGGCGGTCAGCGAGAGGCCGTGGCACACTACCAGCAGCGAGCGTCGGAAATATTGGCAGGTTTTGAGCAGCAACACAAAGTGGTGAGCTTTTCGGAACCGCATTGCTTTCAAAAGACTTGGTGTTTTTTATTTAGACGACTCAGTGAACCGTCTCTCAGGCACTAGTATGAGGTTATCGCTTGTGTTCACACCACTTCTAGAGGAAAGCGGAATTGCAGCAATTATCAGATCCGGACCTCCTGAAGGTCAAGATCAACCAGTGCAAAGAGGAAAACAAGCAACTGCGTACCAGCCTCATGACACTGGAGTTTCAGCTGGTCCGCCAGCAGGAGGTCGGTGTGTGTCTGTGTTTGTGTGAGTGTGGGTTTACACTTCTTACACTATAACTTAGTTCTCAATTCTCTGAGGCCTTTTTTAATTTGAATCATCTGAAAGGCTTTGTGTCTTTCAGGATATCATCAACAAGTTGGACAGCAACATTGCAGACATGATTGGTAACTTCAGTGAAACTGCTCACGGCATATATCCTTTCTCATTGTGCATCATCTACAGAGCTTTGAATCATTTCCAATGGCACGTGTGCATCACTCTTCTCAGGGTAAAACTATTGAAATACTGTACTGCACTTCCTCTTTTGGGAACAGCAACTTTCTCCAAAATCACATTTGGCAGTGATCAGGTCGTGTTTACATTTCATTGTTTGCATCATACATAGTAACAAGCACACAGTTCGGGTGCAAAATAAGAGATCATTTAGGTTTGACTTTCCATAACACAGTTGAACATTTGCGCAATGTCGAGGTCTGGAGGATAATTATCATGAGAATCTGCAGGTGATTGTAGAAACTCTGGAGAATGTGGACAAGGACCACCGGCATGGGGGCGTGCACGATCATGACCAAACGGTAAGGATAGAATATAGAAGTACTGAAGAAGACCGTTATTCATGGGTTGTGAAAGTCTTCTCTATCAGTTCTGCCAGTGTAACATTGTGTAAAGAAGTACATCTGTTAGATTGCAGAATAATAACAGTATTGTGTGAAGAGGTTAACCCTGGACAGGTCTGACTATATTGGGACGTGGTTAATAATCATTGACAGCGCGCTCGGCCTCTCACCTGTGTTTTCTCCATGAAGCTGTTTGGAGACAAACACGCGGTGATGGATGCACTGGCCACCAGCCATGAGAACCGTCTGCTGAAGGTCAATGAGCGGGAGACTCAGCTGATTACACGCGCTGATGCCTGGAGAGCTTCCCTCGCTAAAGGGGTAGAGAGCTGACATCAAATGCAAACAAACCGCTCAGTTTATGTTTTCATATGGATGAGAACACTGATATTTCTGTTTTTTGGTCTTTATGGGGGCCTTACAGGTTGAAGAAAAAGAACTTTGGAGGAGCCGCATGCGAATCTCAGACATCCACAGATATGCAGACCGTTTGTGGAAGCAGCTGGAAGATTTGCAGTAGCACCATCTGTATTGCATTTCTCCCCTAAAAGGTTGTTTATGTATTTGGCTTTACAAAATTATACAAGAACACCCAACTGGAAAAGTAAAAGTGAAAGAGGACCACATCCCTCCAGTTCTGAGGTCCAACAAATAATTGAATTGACAAAAAAAATCATGCTGTTGGTTTATAAAGCGCTGAATGGTTTAGGGCCAAATACATTTCAGAACTAAACATGGGGAGGGAAGCGTTCATTCTTCATTAATGTCACTGCTACTTTTATTCTATAAAACTTTTTTTTTAATTTTCAATATTTTAATCAATATATTTAATTGTTTTTTAATCTATTTTTATTATGCCTCATGTTTCAATGGTTTCATGTGTGACACTTTTTCCTTGTACAAATAAACATGCCTTGCCTTGAATCCCGTGACCGTCAGAGATTCATACCGTGATCGCTCCACCAGGCTCTTGTTGCGTTGTGTTAGAAAATACAACTCCCAGAATGCATTTCGGTATATTGTCCAATGACGGAATGGCTCAAGCCGAGCACCAGTTTTCCAGCCAATGACGTTCGAGGAAGCTGGAGTCTGAAATGGACCGTTGCTGCGTCGCACCGCGGTAGTCGGTCCACTGACAGCTCACAAAATTAAGCGAAGTCGTGGGACCTCGGGGACTTCTTGCCGCTGGCAGACCTTCTGTCAGGACCCCTTCTCCGTGCTGCTTGGGTGTTCTCAGTCATAAAGTTCATGACGGTGGCTGACGGTGACACTTTAGCGCTCATCATGCCCGTGCGAGCAGAGAGCCTCAGCAGCGCCGGCTCGGCCTGCTCATCCTCGGCCTCTCTTGTTCCCCCTGCCCCGATCAACACCTTCCAGCCCGGGGCGGCCTCCTCGCTGCTGTACAGCGGCTCACAGTTTCAGGGTTATCAGAAGAGCAAAGGCAACTCCTACGACGTTGAGGTTGTTTTGCAGGTAATGTGTTGTTGACATGAAGTTTTCCTTTTTGTTTTCGGTTAGTATTGTTTTGTTGTAACATTGGTCAGCATATTTGTAGCAGTAGTTGCTAACTTAGCTCGCTACGGTTGTCATTCGGTACGCTGACCCAATTTGGCAAATGGACTCCGGTACTACTGTGACATTTAGAACTCGGACCTACTTCCATGTATTAACGGTACAGTCACATATCCTGCAGCAATGTTACACGTATTACCAAAACACGCACGTTAGCATCTCGTCCAACTAGGGGCTTGAATGAGTGGGATTAATCTACTAGAATTTGACTTTTGACAGCGATGTCAGCAGCTTCGCTGACAGAAACCTGCACGGTTTGTCTCTGTTCACCGCATTAAAAGACAATCGTTAAAAATGAACAATAACTATTTCTGCACCAGTGATAGCGGACCGCTTGAGATACACAGTCATGTTATTCAACGTCAATGTGTTTGCAGCATGTGACTGTGGAGGACTCGTATTTGTGTGGATACCTGAAGATCAAAGGCCTGACTGAGGTGAGCTTTAAAACCAGGCCAGATTTAGTAAGACTGACCTTTATTCTGAGCACAAACTGGTTTCTGGAGTTAAACGAGTGGGAACTGGTTTGTGCTTGCATGGTAAAAAAACAAATGCTTAGAGGTAGACGATTGTAATGTGAATGTAGATTTAACCTCTTATTTTAGGTTTGCTCTTCCGGTCCTTAACTTAACTATACTCTTTTATATAGCACACACAAAAAAGTGCTCTCTGTATTAGGTCAACATGCACAATGATGATGATTCTCTTTAATATCTGATAAGCAGCACAGCTAGCTGAAGTTCTTCGATCCTAATATCGAGATATTCAAAACGTGGAAAACCTGCTAATAAATCGTAGTTGTTGCATCGGAGAAAATTTAAATCATCCCCCTTGTTTAGCAAAGTTGTGTATTAAGCACCTTGTAAGCATTTTAAAAACAAATGTATATTTTTAGGCAAATTCTTTTGAAGCAAAGTTGAACTACGATTCATGTATCCATTTTCTCTTCCCCGTCTGTGTGCGATAGGAGTATCCAACTCTCACGACATTCTTTGCTGGTGAAATAATCAGTCGAAAAAGGCCTTTTTTAACCAGGAAGTGGGACGCAGACGAGGATGTGGACAGAAAGCACTGGGTATGTCCGGTTATTTAGGGTGATTACTAGCTAATTGATCCTGCAGCTCCTCATGTAACGGGTTCACTTTGTATCCTTGCGTCTTCCAGAAAAGCCCATTAATTGCAACGTATTGTTTCGCCTTTTCAGTTGTGTTTGGCTGCCTCTCGATAAGCATAAAATAGATGAAGCCAGGCGCTAGCAGCACTTATCCCTGTATTGTGAGGAAGCCCCATGGAACCTGTTAGAATAAAGTCTATATTATGGAACATTAGACCGTCTCTGTATTCTATAAGCATGTTGTATTGATCATTTTCATGGCTAAAAATTGCTTTCCGACATCGAAGCACATAGCTTCTATTCTCTTACCAGTATGTTATGAACCCTCACCAGGGCAAGTTCCAGCCTTTTTCCAAATATGCCAAAAGCTTCAACTCCGATGACTTTGACTATCAAGTGCTGGACAACAGCGATTACGTCTTCATGAGGTGGAAGGTTAGTATGTAATATCACATAATCCCATAGTCTCTGTCTGTGCTTGTTTCGGCATTGGCCTCTAACCTCCGCTCTCTTCTTGTCTGCACCCCCAGGAGCAGTTTCTAGTACCAGACCACACTATCAAAGACATCAGCGGTGCCTCCTTCGCTGGCTTCTATTACATCTGTTTCCAGAAGTCCACAGCGACTATAGAGGGTTATTATTACCATAGGAGCTCAGAATGGTAACTACCAAATATTGCAAACAGTGGCAACCTCTTTTGTCACAGTAGTACATGTTTCTTTTGCCGATGTGACTCTCCGTCCTCTTTGCATCTGCAGGTACCAGTCTTTAAACCTAAACCACGTCCGTGAGCACAGTATGCCTATTTATGAGTTCCGGTGACGACTGCACACGCGAGCACCGAGTCAAAGAGGGAACAGTTCCCGCTGCTCTGCGGTTCAATGGGATGGAAACAACGGAGAGTCCTTCAGTGCCGAGATCAGAGCTGACCCGTCTCCCTCGCTGCAGGGACATAAACCGTGGTCAGCCTCTCCTGTGGTGGACCGACCGAACGAAGGCACCGAGAGGGAGCAGTTTATAGGACGGTAAAGATCAGTGGAGGATACACGGTTCTTGCGGCAACTGTAGAGCTATTTACCTCAGATTTCATCTTTTTATAGTATTTTGGTCTGTTTTTGTTTTGTGCCACCTGATTTCTTTGCGCTCTCAAAGAATCCGTCTTCCTGTTGTTGCACATTGAAACATGTTCCTTTCTTTTTTCCTTCAGTGGAGAAACATAATTGCCTTTCAGCTTAGAGTTGCAAAAGAAAAGAGCCTAGAGGGGGTGTGTTTGTGTGAAGAATATTTGTTTGCCAAGGCTTAATTTACATCATCTAACATCCCCTCTGACAGCCATGAGCAGTAATCTACTTTTTTTATGCAAGGTCGTTAGGACCGTGGGTGGTGGTCTGGCGTTCAGGGAGGTGTTCTAAGGGGGAACGTAATGAAACCAACAGTGTGTGACGGTCGGCTGTGATGGGAATACAGCAACAATGACCCCCGACAGGTTGTTAATAATCAATAACCAATCATTTCCAAGCTGCTGCTTTTTCAAAGACAATGACAAGTCTGCAAATGGCTTCATATTAAAAATGTCTGTTATGCAAACCCACAAATAGGGAGGCTTTCTAAAAACGCATAGCTTGTTTTATTTCCAGGAGATTTATCTTCTTCTATTTTTATTATAAACTTCTTTGAGTTAATCTGCATAAGAAAAAAAAGAGATACCGTAGTAATTACCAGCTTTTGAAGCTCAGACATGTGACCATACATTCCAACTCATTTATATTAAAACATGTAAAGTTGGATATTAATAGTTGGGGAATAATGCAGAGTTAGCCTGGTTGGGTGTGTTAAGATATGACAACACAACAATGCAGTGATTTGATAATCTTCAACACAGTCCAGGGATAAAATCTCAATTTTATTTCTTAGTTTTAGTCTGGTCACATTTGTCCTTTTTAATATTATTTCCATCTTCAGTTTATTTGTGGCTGGATGAGGAACGCACAACAGTTGAATGTAAACAAGCAACACACAACGCGCTTGTCTACGACGCGTTACTATTTCATCCTCGGCGGAAAATGTGACAGATAGAAAAAGCACTTTTTGTGGCTCACGGAGAAAAGTCTAGAGCTTGACGTTTAAGCGAAAAACCTGATGCCTTAAAATTTTAAATTGTAAATATCAACGACAAATTAGTAGGTAAGTAATGTTTTTATTTGAACAAAATCGTGAGAGTATATTTCTGTGTTTGGGAGAACCTGCCTGAGGAGCAGTTGATGTGGAGTTGTGCGATGGTGCGTGCATGTACTCGCTTAGAGGCTTCCAACAAGGGGGTGTGTTGGGAAATGGGGAATAATCTTTTCTCTTTTGTTTGTATGTGGATTGCAAGTGTTGCAATCCAATCGTTGAAAAAAAACTTAATTACTTTTCTTTTTTTTATCAATCATGTAACAGAATGAAAATGTGCAATGTCAGAGAAACAGATGTTTATTTGTGAGTTTTGACTGAATACACTTTATTAAGAAAAAAAAAGCTGTATGATAAATCTGCCTCATCGTGTGAGGATAAATAAAGAGTGGGTTATGTCATATAGATATTTGTCTGTATTGTTGTTTTATATGTATTTTTAGAATCTCAAGACGGCCTCCATGAGACAGGCGAGAAGCATTTGGGAGCGAGGGGGGTGAAGAGCAGCAAAGGTTACCGGCTCAATCTGAACCGTGCAGCTATGTGGTGATGTGCGCATTCGACCGCTGAGCCAGCGGTTTAGTTAAACACGTGCAGGAGGTCAGACTACAGAGGTGATAGCAGTCAGCACTAGAGGTCACTGGTGGACAACTAACTGGTTCAAAGTCCCTTTTCTCCTTCAAGGCTGATAACCATTCAGACCTCTCGGCCTTCAGCAGCACTTACATGTCTCTGACGCGGTGTGGGTGCAGTTAAGTAAATCAACCAGTGGTATGAAAGATAAAGGAAAGGGAAAGCCCCCCACTGCCTGAATAAATGGAGGCCGGGGTACAAATATCTGAAGCATATCCCCCCGTAATTATTACCTCTCCTCCTGTTTATCATCAACGGAAAGTATCACTTAATAGGGAACTTACATCCCAAATACTTATTGTATAATATGTATTATTACATATTTGTTTTTTTTTTACGGTGAAGTCCTGTTTTTGTTTTAAGGTTCCTTTGAATGGTTTATATCGGGGAGATTTACGCTTCTCCTCGAGAGCTGTATAGAAACACTCGTGGTTTCTAACTCCTTTACTCGTCTTATCTTCTCCGTCGGTCAACTTCACTTCAGGTGTCCGGCCCGCGACTAAATATCATATTTTGTAATCATAACTGGCCCGCCGGTCAATTGAAACCACGCGGCTGATACTTATAAAGTCGCGACGAGACTCGCGACTTCTCCGGTGGAGGAGGGGGGCGGGGCTTCCCAGCGCGCGCTCGCAGCAAGGGGTCGCAAGGGAGACGTGAAGCGGGTGTTGAGTTGTGTTGAATTGTGGTATCATAAGTATCGGGCATCGTGATGTCTGTGGCAGGTTTTTTTAATGTCGGCCCTCTCTGTGATTGAGTTTGAGCTGCTGCGGCACTCTCAACTCTTGCGTCACGAGCCACGAGCCGTTTTGGAGCACGAGCCACGAGCCGTTTTGGAGCACGAGCGGCCCGTCGGCAGGTAACACGTAAACCCTTTAAAGGTGGAACCGAAAAGCTTAGTGAGACAAAGGAGAGGTGTCTGGAGCGAGTGTTTCAACATATTAAACACCTATGACTTATTTGTGAAATTACCGACTGGTGACACAACTTGTTGTTTTGTTGTACCTTCAACACTCCTACGCAATCACACACCCAGCATGCATCACTCCTGATACCACTTGTGTTCTCACCACATCGTATCTTCTGTTCCGTCCATTTCTACAATAAAGTTTATACTAATTCTACCCTACGATTCCGGTGTCTTTATTGTGTGGTCTTTCTCTGCTGACATTCATTCCTTAAGCTCCTGTAGATCCGTGTAACCATATGTAGATACAACCAAACCATCGGAGTCAGGCATATTCATACCTGCCTCACACTGTTACAATAGCCACCATCATTGTATTACATCCAGGCAAATTGGTGGATCCAAATGTGGTTTTAAAAAAAATATTCTGCAATGCCCATGTTATCGCCCAAAATCATTTGAAGTGTATGGGTGTTTTTTTACCCAAGGAAGCCACTGACTTGAGTAGGTAAATACCAGCTGACATTGGATCGGTATCCTTATGGCTGACACACCCTAACCCCTAGGGGCCATTCAGGGCCACCAGTCACCCTGATCCCCAGAGGGGGAAAACATGCTCCTGGTCCTGGGTTCGACATGCAGAAGTCGAACCCAGGACCTTACCACCGTGCCGCCCTATTAGTGTTTTAACTCTATACGTTTTCAAGACTAAAGTTCTTAAGAACGAGTCAATGCTGCTCATTTTATTTTGTATAGCCCAAAATCGCAAATTGCAAATTTTACAGTCTGTACACATACGACAACCTCTTTCCGGAAACCCACCATCGGCACAGGAAAAACTTCCCAAACCCTTCCAAGAGGGATAAAAAGGGCAGAAACCTTAGGGAGAACGTCAGAGGGACCCCACTCCAGGGATGGACAGACTACAATGGATGCCATGTGTACAGAATGAAAAATGTATAATACATGCAACTCCTATGACAGAAATAATTCTAGTTATTGTGAGTAGTAATCACGTTTCTTGGTGTACGTGCTGCAGGTCACGCAGAGCGGAGGAGACCGGTTCTGTTGCCGACGCAAAAGATATTTGCGTCGGCATCCACTTCCTCCTCTGGCTTTAGTAATGCTGGGGTGATCAGTTACAACTTGTGGCAAACAATAATTAACAACTCCGACTTAATGACAGGAGAGGCTGGAAGGTGTTGGAGTAACATGAGAAACATTATTAGAAAATACCGCTCATATCATTTGACCTCTTCTTACTGGAAAGGGAATGCATCTGTCTAGATTGAAAAAGTCAAAACTGAGATTTTCTGATGTGATCGGCCTAAATAAAACGAACGGATGGGACCTCAAAAAAGAAAAATTATTTGAATAATCCCTCGTTCTTGTGAAAGGACTGGGACGCGTCCACATCAGGATTGCAAAAAACAAACAAGATATCAAGTTTCCAAATGTCTCTTAGGGGAAAGGCTGGAGTTTTTATTTTTATTTTTAGCTATTGTTTGGACCGCCCCCTCCTTCCAACCCCTCCTCCCTCCCAGTGACGAGAATCCATTGTCTGCGTGTCTGACGAAACTGCGCCTTCACCGCAACGAAGGATTAAAAGCAGCTGCAGAGCGGATCTGCGCCAGTAGCCTACCCGGTCCACAGCTGCAGCTCACGCCCGTGCATCCACTCGGTCGGTTCGTCATGGAGGTCCAGCGGTATCCCATCAGCATCAGTCTAATCGGAGTCCTGCACAAGCAGAAGTGCAAAGTAAGTGCACGCAGAGACTTTTAAAACATTTTTAACAGGTGCCTTATTTTGAGGGAAAAAAGTAATACTCTGCGGTGCTGGGTTTCACTTTTGCCTTTTGCCTTTTCCAGATGTATATGACCTCCGTGCTTTGGTCAGACGAGAATGAGATTGTAGTTTACAGAACCTTTGTGGATTTCAAGAAAATGCACGTAAGTAGGAAACGTTACACGTCTCCTGATTGTTGAGCGTGTGCACGTGTGGTTGTTGGTTACCAATAACCGTTACCGATTTCTATCTCACAGAAACAAATGAAGAAACTTTTCGACAAAATGAAAATGAAAAGATCCGACAGGCTCATCCCCAAATTTCGAGGTACGTGTTGGTGAATAACCGCTGCAGTCTGTGCGAGTTGCAAAGCGCATTCACACTTTGGATTCGGACTTCAAGCTTCCCGTGTGCTTTCAGACAAGATGGGGACCGGCAACGTGCAGAAGAAAAGTCCAACCAAGTCCCTCCTGCGCCTCAAGTTACTGCAGAGATATTGCAATGAACTTCTGAGCAGCGACCCGCAGGTCTCTCAGTGCCCAGACCTCATCCAGTTCTTCCACCCCAACGCCGATGACCTGCAACCGGACTTCGCCAAGAACAGGTAGCTGAAAAGTATTTTGTGTTTTATGTGGGGATGCCTTTGGCCTTTTTGGGGTCTATCGAGCCCAAAGAAAACACTTGATGTGACATTTTGTAATCCCTAAATTATAACTGATTTGATAAAGTATGCATGCACATGATAAAACAATTCATTTGAAATGTACCTTATTTATCCTTGTTGTTCTGTTTTTTAAAAACACATGTACACCTGCATAATATTGAATGTTGCAGTATCAGCAGAGGGATCCTTAAAAAATAACCTGGTAGATAAGCATGCTGTTAGATTTGTGTGTTGCTCCGAATTAACCTGCGGCCTGTCCTCATTAGCGCCATGGTCTTGCCATCGGACGATGAGCTCCGTGCCGATGGAGCACCGGTCACCGGTGGCAACGTGACCAAGCCGTTCGTCACAGAGACTTACAGATGTGTGGCCGTCTACGAGACCAAAGACACAAAGAACAAACCTTTCAAAGTGGCGTTGAACGAACAGTTGGACGTGCTCATCAAAGACAAAGCGGGTGAGCGAGCTGCTGTGCTAAAGAGTCCTGTCCGTGCTCGGACCTTCATCCACCTGACTGCACGGATAGATTGTAAAATGTTTGGTTGTGTTGCCTCAGGGTGGTGGCTTGTGGAGAATGAAGACAAGCGTATGGCCTGGTTCCCCGCCCCCTACCTGGAGAAGGTTAAGGAGGACGACGACGACGACGATGATGAGGATGAAGATGACTTAGACGGGGACTGTGAGAGAGGTGTGTGCATAGTTCATTTTTAAGTTTGACCAAATCTCAAGACTGTTGGCTGTCAACGCCTGGCTTATTCGCTGACCGTGTGCGCGGGTTTAAAATGTCATGTCAACATGCTACAAGTGATTTCTTTCCCCCTCAGGACTGCGGTACACTGCAGTGAAGACCTACAAGGCCACCAAAGACGACGAGATAACCGTGCCCATCGGTTCAGTGGTGGAGGTCCTGCAGAAGTCTGACAACGGCTGGTGGCTCATCAGGTATTTTATCTTTTGTAAACCTCATCCGAGCGGCAGTAAATATTGCATTTCAAAAGGAAGTTCCCACAGCTTTAAACTCCTTCATGCCTGAACCCCCTGCAGGCACAACACTAAAGCGGGTTACATCCCCACCATGTACCTGCAACCCTACAAGTACCCTCACATCCGCATGACCGGCAACCACCAGGCCCGCCGCTCGTCCTCCCCGCACCCAATCATGTCCCAGAGCTTGGAAGTGCAGCAGTCCAACCAGCTCAGCCTCTCGCAAGGAAACCTGCTGCAACTTCCAACGATAAGGTCTTCCACTCCCAAACCGGACCAACCGCGACGGGAGAGATCAAGCTCTCTGGATATACTGTCCGAAGAGCCCCTCTCTCGGCCTGACAATAGCGCCGCTGCCGCCGCCATCGCCGCCGCCGCCGCTGCCACTGCCGCCGCCGCTGCTGCCGCCAAAGCCGCTGCCGCCGCCACTGCCGCTGCCAGCGCCGCTGCAAGGGTTGACCCCGTGCCCACGATTATGGTGGAGATGGAAAATGAGACGGGCCCCCGCACGTTGAGCCCGAGTGCAGATAGCGAGGGAAGCTTTTCGAGCAACAGCGACTACAGCGATGACCTCAATGCTTCCTGGGAGAGCTCCACGTCTTTCAGCCTCAGCCAGAGCTACAATGAGCAACAGCTGCGCGGGAGCATCACGCCTACCCCTGTGGCGAGTAACCGCCTGGACCCACAAAGCATTAGGCAGGGTAAAATGATGCCCAGCATCTCCGATCCCAACCTCTACAAGGGCCCGACGGCACCCACGGTGCCACCAAGACCGAAGACCAAGGAGATCCTCTCCCGGTGCACCACCATCACCCGCAAGAACGCGGCCAAAGGCAGCCACTCCCCCACCAAGACCGAGATAATAGGTCGCTGAACTTTATGCCAAGAGGCCGCTTGATCAATAAGAAAGTTATCTTGTGCTGTGGCCAAATGACTTTAAATGCAAAGTGTGTCCTTTTGTGTGACACTTTTGACTGGTACTGTAGGTCTGCTAGTGAAAAAATGATGCTACTACAAAAATACCACAAACCAGCTTCAATAACTGCTAAAAAGTAAGCCAGAAATCCGGGTGTAGTTACGGATTCAGACCCTAATCTGAACACCCAAATAAAGACCATTCACTGTTGTCCACTGAATAATATATGAAGGATGAGAGGACTCGTATCTGATGGATTTGGGAAAACCTGTCCATGCATTCTTTAGACTTTTAAGATTTAATTGACCGTATTGATTTTGAAATGTCCCAAAGTTTTGATGCTTTTTATGTGGAGACCTTGCTGAAATGTATTTCCTAACACTTTTGATCTAAAGGTTTTTTTTTTTTTTTTATAAATGTATTTTCCATACTGGAAACCCTGTGTTGTGCCTTATACGCATCTTGCTTGCAGGCGAAGGTCCATTGTTCTGAAGTGCCTTCATTTAAGACTAACAATTGGGGTGTGTGTAACTAAGACTGCATATACACATAAAGTCTGATCATGTCAATTCTGTGTTTTGGGTTTTATTTTCTCAAGTGAGAAACTAGGTTTTCGAACATTGACTCCTTTAGTTAGAACAAATGTTTTTCTACTCTGGAGATTAGCAATGTGACGGATCCCTGCACCGAGGCAAAACAAATGGGCATTAAAGCCTGTAAGACCTGAACCCCAAACGCATGACTTGGTGAAAAAAGAATGTTATCATTTGCTGAGCTACAGACCAAACTGGTATCACCTTGTTCCCACTAATCAACTACGTTGTGAGGGAGTCAACCTCACTTGCAGGGCACTCATTAAACACTTAAACAAAACAGATGTTAATTATATGTTTATAGCTCTACTTATTGAATAAAAAAAAAGGTATGCTTAGAATGACATTTTATGCAGTAACCTAACCGGCAGAACAAGACAACGGGTGCGGCTGGTATCTGCAGTTGAGGATCTCAGGCCAAATGCATGAATATCTATTGAGCTCAGTCCTTCTTGCCTTCCTAATGTTCACTCTGTTTAAAGGCTGGTTAGCTTGCTCTCAATTCTGAATGGAAAAAACCCCTGAAGCAGTCAAGTTACAAACACAATAGAGAATCTTTAAACCCAAATCATCTGTTACATGGTCACTACACCTCTGTCTGACCCTAAACTGCCACTCATTGGGTGTGATGGTCCATGACAAGACGAGCCCTTCGGAGGCGAGTCATTCATTAACGGCACTTAGATCCCCGTCAGCTGGCAAAAGTCTGGCATTTTAGAGCGGTAGGAACTGGAAGACATTTCATCACGTTCACTTCTTCCGGGTCTTCCTCTTCTGAGCTCTGCTCGCTTTCACAGTGGTGGTTGCCGTCCGTTTGGGGGCTCGCTCCGTTTTCTACAGACCCGGTGTTGGTGGAGGCTTTGTTCGAGGCACTGACTTCCTCGTCGTCCTCGTCTTCCTTAACTGCGTCGTTTGGATCTTCATCCTGTTCGCCATCACTGTCATCGGCATCTCGTTTCTCACCACCACTTCCCATTCCTTTCTCCTTGTCAATCATTAAGAACGGCTGTGCCAGCGGCGTGGTATCCATTTCTTCATCTCGGTTCATGCTGGGAAGGATATATGAGCAGGGATTAGTAACTTAAATAAACACTTTATCCTGTATCATTTACCAGAAGTATCTCAATATCAGTTTCACCTTTGGTTAAAATCCCTTTGAAAGGCGCCTTCTAAACTCTCAAAGCTTAACTCGGAAAAGCAAAAATAAATATATCTGCACGTTTGGTTTAACCCACGGAATGCTGCTCAGCCAGGGTTTCCCGTAAGTCTCCGCGCGGTACAGAGCCACGGCAAGACAACAGACTTTGCATGTGCCTCGACTGGCCCTGCTGCATAATAAAAATTTGATGTGCATAGTTTCAATATTTTGTTTCTGAGCAGGGCTACTTAGTTAGGCTGAACCAAACACAGAATGCTCTTTTCGCTGAACTCGGCGGCGAAAGCTGAGGAAGTGATGGCGCTGTAGTCTGAAGAGGTTAAATAAAGCCTGTGACTCTCTAAATGTCGACCGTCAGTTCACAGAAGGTCCCAATGCACAGGAAGCACAAGCTCAACTCCTGGTGCAACGTCTCGCCGTATAGACGTCTGTGCGGTGTGCGGAGAGGATTTTAACTGAACACATTTTAGTGTCCCACTGGTACCACAAGCACCCGAACGTCTCACCTGGATGGTGCTCCGGCCACTCTCATCTTCTGCCACATGTAGTTCAGGAACATGGACGCCTGCAGCAGGTTGCCGATCCTCTGCATGTGTCTCTCTGTGGGAGAGGGACAAGAGTAAATGGTCATTCATTTCAGAGCTAGAGGGACACGGAACTCCAGAGGCGGCTTGACGGCGCCAATGCAATACTCCCATGTTTCCATCTTTGCTAGTGGAATCTGCACTATTTTCAGCGCATGTTGTGGTTAGGTTTGGACTTTCCCCACAGAAAACAAAGCATCAAATACCTCCTCTGTCTGTCTCTGCACGGACTACACCAATAACTGCAGGTTATTCCATTCACTCTAAATCAATTTCACACTCATGTTACAAGGATATGCACCACTCAACTCGTCATTTCTCAATAAAACCTCGTTTGTCAAGGTGCACCGTGGTTTCACGGATCACCCATCTAAAACAGTGGGTAAAACGTGCATCAGATGTCTGTGTTTGTTTTTTCTACGGCTGTCACGCTCTTTTGGCAGACTGCACGCTGTGAATACAACCATACAAACACCTTCACACCCAGCATGGAAACAGGTTTCGTTGTGCGGTTTTTCTGTGACTCGTTATTGCCTTTGCATATAAACACCGTGCGATCACGCCCAACCTTTTTTCATTATTGGTGTATTTCTTTATATTATCTGACAGCAACTGCATGTGCGTCCATCTTGCCGGTGACTACTATTGTGTCTCATTTTGCTTTTGTCTCAGGATGTCTGCAAAGGAAATGTGTTCACATTCACTTCCAGCCTGGGTTTAGTTAACAATCAATCTGTCTCAGACTCTCTGACGCTGACCTGTGTATGGAATGAGCCCCTCCAGGTGGGTTCGGGCGCCCTGGTACTGCAGCAGCTCCTCGGGCGGCAGGTGTGTGAGGAGCACCTGCAGGACGGCCTGGGCATCCTGACAGTTTCTGGCGTTGGTGTTCCACACAGCACAGTAGCGCAGGAGCGACTCTGAGTCGGGTTGAGGACAGAAGAAATGAAAAGAGACACACTTTAGTTTTGCCCCAGCTTCACCGCTTTCTCGTCACTTTGGGACGGTTTCTTTCTTGTTCTTTCGTTGCTCCGTTACCTTTCTGATCAACTCGTAGCTTCAGTACCGTCTTCTCCAACAGCTTGTGGCTGTCCTGCACCTGACGGATCGCTAGCAGCAACAGAGAACAAGTCAGAGACATCAGACAGTCTGTTGCATTTTTGGTCATCATAACTTCGTTATATGTCTGGGTTGTATGTCCACACAAGTATTGTATTACGTTTAGGTTGAAACATTATGAATCCAGTCCATGAAGAATAAGTGAAGATTTTTTTTAACAACATTAAATTGTGTGGCATATTTTTTGTTGTTGTTTAAGTTTGTGATGTCATACTGTGCTGTTCCACTGAAAATGAAACAAAGCATTCAAGAGCCTTTGGAGTAGCTTTGGTAACGTCTCACCCTGTGCTAGTGACACGTCTTCCTGTTTATTTTAAAAGCTGCATACCTCTTAACTGTAATTATATATAATCACAAAAGAAACATGGGCGGAAGCTCATATTCTTGCACGACTAGGTGTGTTCCTCACAGAGAGGAATGCGACCGCCTCTGGTTCGACATGCCGTAGAAAGATGCCATGTAATCCGATGCACTCCTGAACATGACCTGATGTCCTACAGCAAGTGTCTCTTGTTATTACTTGTCTCTAGAAGTGAAGATTCTAGACGGTTATGTGAACTACTATAATATAATCTAGACTAGTCTGAACTGTCAGAACTATACATTAAATACCATCTGTGATACGGCCAGGCCATGTTAGGTGACATGATGACTGTTAAGCTTCAGATTAGCAAAACAACACCGCCCATTTTTGGTTTTGCAACATTCGTCTCCATCATGGCACTGGACAAAGACAAAACATCTATGTACAGTACACATAAATCCATGTGTGCAGCTTGTACATGCAAACCACCAGTAAATGTCTGAGTAGAAGCGTCCCGGAAGCCTAAAGGTTTAAAGCATCTCTCCCTCTTTCAGCTAAAAGGTGTCACCCTAACTGCCCTGGAGCAGCACAAAGCACCTTTGATCACGGTGAGCACAGTGCGCGGCTGGTCCAGTGAGATGGCGAGACCCAGGGCCTTCAGGTACTTCTTCTCATGGAGCAGGTTGGACAACTCCTGCTGCCTTCAGACACAACAAAAAGCACCAATGTGTTGAACAGGCGCCTTTCAAAAATATTTGGACCTCAATGCTTCGAAAGTGGTGTCAAAGGTCAAAGTGGTGTGTCCACAGAAAAGGAATCAAATGAAAATGCAGTTCCTCGACTGCATAGATCAATACAAACCGTTTGCTCTGGTAAACTACGGCGTTCACATTAAAATGCCCGGAGTGAAATGAGCTTTTCTTGACTAATTCAATTTCTTTCAATACAATATCAAAGTATTTGAGCACATTTAACTCCAGACAGAACTCCAAATAATAATTAGTTTGTTAACCAGGATGCAGTTGAAGTAAAAACTAATGTCCGAGTGCCGGATAGCATGAATCAGTAAGTAAACATACATTAAACACATCTCAAGTGGCCCCCATCCGTGTGCACACAAAGCTAGCACTGACCTTCCACCCAGTGAGGGTCACCTTAACCTTACGCTGTTAATTATCAGGCAAAGGCGGTCCTGAGGCCGAGTGACTTACTTAAGTATCTGATCCTCCTGCTTGGCCTGCTCCTCCGCCAGCTCCACCTCAGTCACATCCTAGCAGGGGACAAAAGACAACATTTTTGTGCTAATGCCATGATTCCTGCAGGGGAAATTCCAAAATGTTCCGTCCCGATAGAAGATAAAGAGTTACAGTGAGTGGTTGGTCAAATACTGAGAAAATTTAGTATTTATTTAGTGATATACTACCCTGAGGACAGTTAGGAATGAGGACAAAACTTATTTTTAACACCGCACCCAAGTTGGACAGCATCCCTCTTCCTCTGCCTTCTGTTCAACAGGTTTCAACCAATAAAAAAAAAAAAAATCACACTTACCATCCACAAAGTGATGTTAGAGTCGGCTGAGCCCGTCACCATCTTGTCATCTTTGCGGCTGCCGTGGAGACCCCACACTTTGTCCTGGTGGGCATCCAGCGTCTTAACACACTCATTGGTCTTTATGGTCCAGAGCTTCACTAAACCATCCGAGCCGCTAAAGACAGAACATCGGTTTGGGAGATTTAAGTTAAAACTGTGTGAGGGGGATCCGCCATAATGCTGATTAAGCACAACCCCAAAATCTTTATTACATGCCAACGCTAATGAGGCTTTTATGTGTCGACGTTTACACTGGAGTAGGGAAAGAGGAAATGCAAATGAACATTAGTCGTTTTCTGTACTCAGAACAGATTTGTTTTCAGTGTCTAATGAATATTCTCTCCCAGAACAATGGAGGAGCTGTTCTCACACACCCACACGGGACAGAGCTTCCTTTTAGGTGTCAAGTGTTAACTACCACACTGTGATTTGATATCATTTTCTAAAACATCTGCAATCAAACACAAGAACAATAGGAAACTGTTCTCACTTTCTTTAAGTATAAATAGTCCAGGAAATGGATCGCGACAATGTGATAAAACGGATGACACATCAGGGTTTAAAGCTCCCTTTTCCTTATACACAGCACAAAGGATGAGGCTTTTTTTGTTTTAAATTGAGACTGCAGTGTTTCTAAAACGAAAAATGAAGAACAAAAGAAGAGAATAGAACATATATTTATGTGGAGAAAACTTTGCATGTGTGGCGTCACCTGGTGAGCAGTTGAGTGCCTCGGCTCACAAAGATGACCTTCAAAACAGACGCGTCGTGACCCTCAAAAGTCTGAAAATGAGGAGAGTAAAAACACTTTTAGACTTCACTTTTACTTTAAACTCACAAAAGAATCACAAATATAGTCAGCTATGCTGAAATAACAGCTATAAATTCAACAGCTATTAACTCACAGCTAACAAACAAAAAGAAAATTGCCCGTTGAATTCAAAGTGCGAATTGTGACGATTGCACGTGAACAACTAAACGGCGCTCTGTCACTCGCGCGCACTTCTCGCGGCCCACCTTGAGGCAGCTGAAGTCCTGCAGGCCCCACAGCTTGGCGGCACCGTCTGCGGAGGACGTGGCCAGCACCTGGTCGATGGGAGAGAAGCAGACGGCCCAGACGCCGCGGCGGTGGCCCCTGAACACGCCCAGCATGCCCACTCTCCCCGCGGCCTCCAGCGACCACAGCTTGGCCGTGCGATCCTGGGACCCGGATGCCAGCAGCTTGTCGTTGGGAGACACCGCCACGCTGTTCACGTCCTGCAGGAAGCGAGGGCGGGAGATGAGGACCCACCAAAATATGAACCCTTACAAGTTAATGCGATTGTAGGAAAAGTAAGTCAGAGGGAAGTAACTTGGACATGAAATCTCCTTTGGTTTAGGCGACATATCTACTCGGTTGGGTTACGGTCAATTGATTCAGTCTTGCTGAGAGACCAGATGAAAAAAGTAAGCGTTTTTTCTGTAAACTTTTTCTGTTCGAAGAGCGTTTTTTCCCCCCCAGTTACGGCCTAAAATAACATTCCCAGCAGGTCTCTGAATTGCTCTCACAACACAATGTGAATCGTTTCCATGACAACTGAAGACGAGTTATGCAACTAAGTGCTGCTGCTAGACAGATGGTCGATTGCGGTATCTTACTCTGGAGCATGTCGGTATGTTAAACATGACATTCCAGTAACTTCCCAACTTTAGTCACTAATTATTTTTCTGCACTTCCTTGTTAAAAGTTGCCTTGCATTGAGCCATTAAAAAAAATGGCTAAAGACTGACTCAATTCTATTTGTGTGTGTGATGTGTGTTCTGTGTTTAGTGTAATTAAGGGAATTAAGGGGAAACTCTCACTGGATCAGGCCCATGTGTGCATTTCACTTGTTGCCATTGCAGACACATCTGGCTGAGGCCTGGACTCGACTAAGTGTCCGTTTCTACTCGCCAGCACCTGAAAGACTGGCTCAACAGAAAAAAAAAGTAAATTTCTCTCGGTATTCATTAATTTACCGATGGCTGTTTTTAATGCAGAGGTGATAGGAAGGTGGTGCAATCAACTTTCTTTGGATAATCAAGGAAATTGATTCCCTCCACCTCAATCAAAAAGCCCACGGGAATGTTTTGGCAGTCGTGCCTCTATTGGTATCTAATGAAGGATCAATGCACTGGAAATAGTATTTTGCAGGATGTTTAGATGTTGCTCTTCTCTTCTCCTTGAGCTGTGTGTTGAGTTTTGTGCTCGTACCTTGTCATGCGCCTTCTCCGTGGCTCGGGGGGTCAGGTGATGTAGGTCCCCGCCTGTAGTTGACAAGTCGGCTGGTAGATCCCAAACCTTCAGGGTACAATCCTGACTGCCGGACACCACAAAAGATGCCTTCATCCTGGACACAAAGACGGAGATTCATTCACATCGTCACACTCACTCATTCTTTTCCTTCAGTGTCTTTAAGAGTCCTACCTGGAGCAGGTGATGGAGCCCACGGCGTTGGCGTGGTTGGAGCCATGCGCCACACAGTGCACCCGACCACTATCACTGTCCATCTGCCACACCCGCACTGACCTGTCCTAAAGACAGAGACACAACAAGCTTCAGACATAAATTTAGTGGTGTGGAAGTTGCATATTGCAACAAACTGAACGGCTGAGGCAGAGTTGTCCATGAAACTTGGTGGACAACTAATTGTGATTGGACATATTGTGTTGTCAACAAATCCCCCATAATCCTACACAACAGAGTTCAATGTCTCCTCAGTATCGAGGAGTGGTTAGTTGGTATCAAGGTGTTAAGATGTGGGCTCACCTTCGCACAGCTCGCAAAGACAAAACCCTTTTTGAACACGTCCAGTGACAGGACGGTATCTGGGGACAATGAACAGATAAAAACAGCAGTGAATGTCTGAGTAGATAATTATCGCTCCAAAGTGCTTATCAGGTAACTTTAAACACCCTGAACCGTGACTAGTACTACATCAGGATCAAGATTGTGCTTGAATTGCCAAATATTCCAAATTTAATTGAATGCAAGTGAAGCACTTTGTAAATTAGTTTTACTTGCTAAACAAATAAATAGTATTAATTATTTGATAATATAAATATAATTCACGAAACCAACTTATTTTTCTTAGAGACTAATTCTTATTAACTGTGTGGAAATATATCTGCAGTAGTGGCACAGTTTTCATTCCCAGACATCCTTATTTTTCAATGTCAAGCAGCTATTGCAGTTTTTAGAAACTACAGAAAAGCTTGAATAGACTGAAGAATAACTGGTGTCCAACACAAAAGATGGTGAAAGGGATTTCTTTCTTTCTTTCTTTTAAACCTTCTGCCCTGATTGACTACACATACAGCGTTGCGTTCCATGTCGGTACTTGTGGACCCGTGCTGCCCTCTCCTGGTTACTGACCTGTGTGTCCGTAGAGGATCTGGCAGCTGTTGGTGAGCAGCTCAAACACCTTCAGCTGGCAGCTGTTTGTTGCCACCACGATGTGGCTGTCCCCTTTACCCAAAAACTTCACGTCCAGCACTTCATCATTGTATCCCACAAACTGTGAGAGAGTGGACAGAGAGGGTTTCCATTAATAAGGTTTGAATAATAATAATAATAATAATAATAATAATAATAATAAAAGAAGCACTGAGCGGCTGGCATCTGTAGCTTGATGATCGAGGTTGTTCGAAAAAAACAAAAAAAAAACAAGGTACAAATATATCAACTCCCTCCTGTGTACACACCTGCTGCTGTGTGGTGAGAGCAGGCAGCTGGTAAAGGACAATGTTGTGATCGGCAGTGACTGTGGCCAGTCTGGAAGAGGCTGGCAGGAGAAGGAGGTACGTCAGGCTGCAGTGGTCGTTGTCATCGTCCTTTTCCTCCTCTTTCTCAGAGACAGCAGCGAGGGTCGAGTTGAGGGTTTGGGCGTAGACACACCGCGCTGTGCTGGCTTCCCACACTCGCAATACACCTACAGGTGAGAAAGGGAGAAGGCAATGATACATTAAATGAAAAGGCCCCGGTAGAATTAAGATCACACAAAATATGGACTGCACGACATCACAGATTTTATGTTCAGGACAACTCAAGAGGTAAAACCTTTGCTGCCTGCTGTAATGAAATGCAAGTTCTTGCTCGTCACTCCAATATCAGACAAGTCCTCATCGTCAGGCAGCAGCACAACACCCTCCACGGTCTGCAGGCACACACACACACACACACACACACACACACACACACACACACACAAAATGAAGCTGCAGATCCTTTACAACATGAAGATCACGACATGTTTTTTTCTTTCTGCATCTATGCCTTACCTCGTAGACCGGAACGGTTCTCGTGGCTTTTCGAGTCTTCAGGTCCCACACTGTGCAGATCTTATCTCTGCCAGAACTTCAGATACAGATTGGCACACAATCACAGCAAGAAGAAAAAAAGAAAACCACCTCAGAAAAAATCCCCTAAAGTTTAAATGTTATAAATGAAAGCCTATCCATTGGATGGATCAGTGTACGCTACCTGACCATGGTGTCACCGTCAGGAGTGAAACTGAGGGAGGTGACGGCGCTGTAGTGGCTCTGCAGCACGCACACACACTGACTGGAGCGCAGGTCCCACAGCCGAATGCCACAGTCCAGAGAGGAGGAGAAGAGCTGCAGCTTGCTGATGTCTGGGTGGAACTGGACCAAGCTGCAAAATTACAAAGGTGTGCTACTGAATAATTACTGAATTATTTCAGTCTGAATCTTTCAAACTTGTTGTGGTACTCCATCTAAAAAAGATCCACGTTGACTGTACGTTGTTACAGAAACATAAAAAAGTTGGAATATCAGATTTTACCACCCTTCAACAGGAACAGGGTCAACATAGCGGAACAAATGAAACTTAAACAGTAGAAAGGAATGTTCTGTACACAAGTAGACAAAAATAGGTCAAAATATTATATAAAGAGCACCAATGACCAAAACGAACATATATATATATATATATATATATATGTCAAATTTCTCAATCCTATTGGTTACTTAAACATATTTATGGCAAACAAATATTGAGTATTTTTGTTTTTTGAAAATTAAACAAATGAATACAAATCATTTATTTTTAAAAGACGTTTGAACTTACTGAACAACGCCAGATGAGCCTTTGAGGTTGTGGGTGCAGTACTGCTTCAGCACATCCCAAAGCTTTATAGTACCATCACAGCCGCCTGCAACAAAACAACAAGAAATACATGGAAAACTATCCAATCTCTATGAAGCGGAGATCAGGCAGAAACACGGTACACAAGAGACAACTAATTGTCAATGACAATAAGTGACAATGGCTGACCTGTGGCCAGGAGGGTAGAGGTGGAGTCAAAGGTCATGCTGGCCACAGGAACAGTGTGAATGGCCCTCCAGGAGCGAGTACACTGAGCTTCCCTCCAATCCCATTGCTTCAGCAACAGCGCTCTGCTAGCTGTTACCAGCATCTATGACGAAAAGCAGAAGAGAGACGTACATGTATGCTTTCTTACAGACTGGGAGAAGAATGTCCAGTGAAGAACTTTAATAGACTCGATGTGGTGAAGGTTGTTTGAAGTGATGCCAGGCTCTTGAAGTGTTTGCTTTACCTCATCATCAAAGCTGAGTGCGAACGATGTGATGTCCTCTTGATCATCCTGCAAGTATAATGTGGACAGACAAGACAGACCGTCAGTATTGTTCAATTAACAATATGATACAAAATAAAGCACGTCTTTACGTTTGAGATGCTGGTACAAGAAATATATAATGCTATGAATATAGAATTCATCATAAATAAAAATCAAAGGATTTGCGTACGTATAGTACGTACACACATACACACACATCTTTTCTGTCGCAATTTTTGGCTCCACAGAAAATAAAGGAACATGTACTTAATTTTGTAGGCAGGCAAAACAAGATCCATGCAGCAGGGCATTATTCTATGACAGAAGTCTTCGAGATTGGGCTTCTGTAGTTGTAAATATTGAAACATAAATTGCGCGGTCCTTTAAAAAGGACCCACTCTGTACTTACATGCTGAACACTGTGGACGATCTTCCCTGTGCTGATCTCCAAAACGTTCACACGAGATTCACAAGTGCAAAAGATGTACTTTTCATCTTTGCTGATCTGGGAAAAAAGAAGAAAAAAATCAGACTGAGAGGTCAAAGCCCATCTTATTAGAGGTCAGAATGTCACTGCTGTGATAAATCTAATGAGTCCTATGAGATCGTTTCAGGCCGGTAGATGGTACAACATGTAATACACACTGATTTTAGAAACACAAGACACTTGGAACACTGGACACGTCCGAAAACACACCTGCACTTTCCCTCCTTTGTAAAACGGCTCGATCTTGCTTTCAACGGCATAACTGTGAGGGGGGAAACATAAATACAACTGTTAACGTCTACCGTAAATTGTAACAACTTTAAATTACCCCATAGCCTAGCTTGTGTTAGCTAGCTAGCAAGGTCTGCAGCACGCACGTGCCGTACATCTCAAACTTACTTTGTTTTGAATTGAAGGTTGGTATTTGCCATTTTGCTCACGTTGAAGGCCGAGACGTAAATATTTGTGTCAACTACAGTGAAGTTAAATACTAATTTCTCACTTCACACGTTGGCTGAAGTCAACACATTCCGCATGTTGGTGGTCGGTACCCGGGGCGCACACAATAGACGTCATCTCAGCGCACTGAGCTGTGATTGGCCAGCCGGTTTACTGCGTCTATTGACAACACGTAAACAAACATGAATTCTACTTATGAAAGCATCTAGAGTAATGTGATTTTTTGTTTTAAATAAATAAACAAGTTTATAACTCAGGTCAATGGTATGTGATCCTCGGCGTCTTGAAATAAACAGTTTTATATTTGGTCCCAGAGGCTCTCAACAATAGAACAACCTGGGTTTGTTCACGTCCACATGTTGCTGTCTGACGTGTGGAGGCTGAGCTTTGCTACTAGAACAACAGGGAAAGGACGCGCTCCAAATGAGCGCCATTATCTCCCTTCGTTTTTCGTAATTTACTCTTTTCATTTGTCCCCCACAGACTCACACGCACAGAGTCCCTCCTTCACGTTTTGTCAGGAATGTTCATGTGTGTGTTGTATTGATAACGCGGGTGTGTGTTTCGCGTGTGACATGTGAGAGGACCGATATGGAGTAAACCAGCTCCGGGAATGGAAACACGGTGAAGAGAGAACAGCGTCATGGTGAGAATATAACCGCTTTTGTTAATTGTGTTGGTTTTAAACGCTATACTTAATTACTTATATACAGGGCGATGTCTTCACGGGCTTTCCTTTTGGTATACATAGGCTTGTTTAAGTGCCATAATACTTTCGATTATTATGTATTATATTTAATGAAAGATACAGTTAATTATATAATGACAAACATCAGGTGTTCTAAGTATTTTACAATCAAAGTCATGTTGAAGCAATACACTTGTTTTTTGTTATCATATGACTTTCCAGAACAATTCTGTATTGTGTTCACTTGCCTTTATGCTGTATGAAAACACTATGAATTGGTTGTTGTGAAGCCACGTTTTACAGCTGTAGGGAAAATACTCCGGTTGGTACATCAGGGGTCACAATTTTTCTGTGTCTCAGAACTCTTTGCTTCAATGTCAACTTGAGAAATTGAACGATACACGATGATGAACTTGATGAAGTAGTATTCATTTTGGCCACTTCCAGGCGGACCCAGAAGTGTCATCACAGAGTGGGGGCTTTGATGTGGAGCTGTTTGTGGACACTCCAGACTACGATCTGATCTGTACCATATGCCAGGGGGTCCTCAGGTGTCCAGTAAGAGCTGCATGCCACCACATATTCTGCAAGAAATGCATCTTACAGTGGCTCAAGAGGTACTAAACATAATATCTATCAATACCACTGAATAAGAACACTGTAAATGTATCCTGTATTAGATTGTTATTTATGTCTTTCTATGCAAAGTATTATGACTAACTGTGGTTTATCCTCTGTAGGCAGGAGACCTGCCCCTGCTGCAGGAAAACTGTAAACCCAAGCTTGATCTTTGTCATGTTCAAGCTGAGCAAATCTATTGGACGAATGACTATCAAGGTAGAAAATGTAAAATAAAAGTTGTACATTAACGTGAATTGTATATGGGAGACAAAGAAATACCAAACCATTAACATGGCCCTACATTATGCTTTGGGGAGGGTGATACGTAAAGAGAAGATTAATAGTCCAGGGTTTTTCTTTTGAATAAGTTTATAGGACTTATTTATTTTGAATGGTCATATCTGTAATTATAGCGGCGTGACTATCAATATTTCCAAATGAATCCATTCTTTTTTCCCTCCGTCAAGTATAGATATTATTTATAAAATTACTTAAATATGGTTCACAGAACAAAATTAAGTCTTTTTGACATAACTCAATTTTTGAACAGCGTTATTTACTCTCTAACACACAAAATAAATAATGACCTTGTTTGACTTTTAAACATTTTTAAAACAAAACTATTTCCGCCAGCTGCAGTGAAGTGCTACAAACATGCATGTATCCCAAATAAGATCTCAATTATAGGCAAATAATATAGTCGAAAAGTCACTAGCAGCATTTTTTTGTACATAATGAGTTTGTCTCTTGCAGTGTAAGAATGAGATCCGTGGTTGTGCAGAGACCTTCTCTCTCTCTGAGCAGTACCGCCACAGCATGAGCTGTCTGTACGAGCTCATTCCATGCCCGTACCAGGGCTGCCGGGCGCAGCTCCTCCGCAGGGACCTGGACACCCACGCACGCCACTGTGAACACTGGCGTCAGCCCTGCCACATGGGCTGCGGGACGATTCTCTCCCACCGCACCCAGGCCCAACACAACTGCTACAAGCAACTGAGGCAGGAGTATGAGGTCAGACAGAGGAACCACAGGGCCATCGCTACTGCCCTGCAGAGGAAGATGAGGAGGATGCAGAGCACCATGGCGCACATGAAGAGGCAGATAGGGCTGATCTGTGAAAGCCTGGAAGTGATGGACGATCTGCATGAAGTGGAAGAGGAGGACCTTGGAGAGAGCAGTGGCAGCTCCAGTGGGACTCTAAGTAGCAACAACAGTAACGGCTGAGGGACACTTACTGCTGCTAATTGGCTGCTGCTGTGGGGGATTTACAAATGTATACATTTATTTTAAGTTGTGTGGTTTTAGAATACGTAGATGTATGAATAGAAAGGGTGAGTTAACAGTTGCCGTGGTTTCATCTTTTTTGTAAATAAACTAATTAAACTCTTACACCGTCGTCCTGATCTTCAATCACGTGAGGCTGACATGTGATGTATCAGTCCAACAAAAAAATAATTATTGAGATAAGTTCAGCTTTTATTTTAAAATAATTTAATTGTGTTATATTGTCTTTTCTTTTCTGTGACTACTGTGTTACTTTAACGAAATAAATAAGTGGAGCAAGATACAACTAGGATCATTATAACCTGGGTCCGCCATAAAAGACAATGCCGCAAGGGGCAGCAGTGAGCGTGTTTTGTAGACGAGGTAATATCGCGATATCACGTCTGACATAAAACCTGACGAGACTTCGAGACGGTCTTCTTCCTGTTATAACGATCACGTAAGTAGAATGCAGAGAAATCCCTCCCGAACGAAATCGTGCTATATCTCGTACATCCTTCGGCCAAACGCAGTCTGAAAATGTACCAAATAACATTTGAATATGGGGTTTCTAAACCCAGCTCGTATTTACGAGGATAATGTGACAGAGTTTGAGATATTCCTAAATATTGAACAAACTATGCCATCGTTGAACATGGCGGCGATACCATCGCCAGATGCTCGCTCATGTCAGCCTCTTATTGGAAACCCTTTATGACCTGTATTCTATTTTGTTGCGTAGCAAATGGCGGACGACGCCGGTGGTAGAGGAGGTTTTCGCGGAGGGTTCGGGGATCGTGGTCGCGGCCGGGGCCGTGGACGCGGGAGAGGCCGCGGCAGGGGACGCGGGGCCCGCGGCGGCAAGTCCGAGGACAAGGAAGTAAGATGAACACCCATTAATGTTGTAAACGACCGCAACGTGAAACGATATCCTACGTAATTGTGAATACCACAAACCGTTTACTCAGATTCCCGTTTCTCCTACTAGTGGGTGCCAGTCACCAAGCTGGGCCGCCTGGTGAAAGACCTGAAGATCAAATCCCTGGAGGAGATCTACCTGTACTCTCTGCCCATCAAGGTGAGCGGTGTGTGAGGAGGATGCGCAGGTGTTGTTGATGCTACCGGGTAGCTGAGGTAACGGGATGTCCAATGCATCCAGGATGCGCCCGTTGACGTGACCCCTTGTGTATGCCGATATTTGCTCAATTGTGATGTCAACGTTTTCTCAAATATTGATGCTGGGTTTATTTAAAAAAAAAAAACCTAACATTTAAAGTAGTTTTAAATGTATCTTTCAAAACTATATAGATTAATGCCTCCGAAGATTATATTCATGTTTTTCTAGTGTGCCTTTGTCAGATAACATTTTTATGGCCTTGTTCATGCTGTGTTACATGTATAGAATGCATTGTGAATGGATATTGGGGGATATGGGGGTCGTCGTGGCGCAGGGGTTAGAGAATGTGTGCTGGGAAGCACAAGGTTGTTGGTTAGATTCCAGGCTGCCCCATGTTCCATGTCGAAGTGTCCCTGAGCAAGACACCTAACCCCTAATTGCTCCCCGGGCAAAAATGTGAAAAAGCCATATGGGTTTAAAGTGTAATGTAAGTCGCTTTGGACAAAAGCGTCTGCTAAATGACCTGTAATGTAATGTAATATTCTTAAACTTGGTGTAAAAGAATAAACCTTAAATGTCAGGATTCCTTTTAGAAGTGGTTCAGGGATTTGCGTATTAATAGAAATGTTACATTTTTAATATGCTTATCATGCAGTTATACAATGAGGTACTTTGATGTGGATTCTGCACCAAATGTTGGAAGCGGCATGATCCAAATTTCATTTTCTAACTTTTTCCTGCAGGAGTCTGAGATCATCGATTTCTTCCTGGGTTCCAGTCTGAAGGATGAGGTGCTCAAGATCATGCCTGTCCAGAAGCAGACCAGAGCTGGTCAGCGCACTAGGTTCAAGGTGGGTGTCATTAATTCTGTGTTAAAAGATCGTATTTAGTTTTTTTTATAGTTGCTGTTCCAAACATGACCCTGTTGGCATTTGTTTACAGGCCTTTGTTGCCATCGGTGACTACAATGGTCATGTTGGGCTGGGGGTGAAGTGCTCCAAAGAGGTGGCTACAGCCATCCGCGGTGCCATCATCCTGGCCAAGCTGTCCATTGTCCCCGTCAGGAGAGGTTATTGGGGTAACAAGATCGGCAAGCCCCACACCGTGCCCTGCAAGGTGACAGGCCGCTGTGGCTCTGTCCTGGTGCGTCTCATCCCAGCCCCCCGTGGTACTGGTATTGTGTCCGCTCCCGTGCCCAAGAAGCTGCTCACCATGGCCGGTATTGATGATTGCTACACCTCTGCCAGGGGCTGCACTGCCACCCTCGGCAACTTTGGTAAGTGTCCTCATACGACAGTGTTGCTGGGTTTCTCCTGGTGTCTTTGCTCTGTCCAGCCTCACCCACTCCAGAAATATAGCATCTCCTCACTGGTTCTTTTTATTCTCTCACCAGCTAAGGCCACCTTCGATGCCATCTGCAAGACTTACAGCTATCTGACCCCTGACCTGTGGAAGGAGACCATCTTTACAAAGTCACCATACCAGGAGTTCACTGATCATCTGGCCAAGACTCATGCCAGGTTGCCATTGCAGAGGGGACAGTCTGTCGGGACCCCTACCGCCTAAACTTTTTGTACAGAGAATTGTTTAATAAACATTCTGAAACAAAATGCAACTTATGTTTGTGCTTAACTCGTGATGGAACAGGGGTGTGAGAAAAGACGACTTTTTACCATGTGCATTTATTAAGCTCACTTTATTACAATAAGTGCATTCAGCCAAGAGGCTACAGACCCAGAACCGACGTACCATTTGAGCACAAACTACACTGACATTAGTCAGTAGGGTGGGGCAAGTTACATGAACCTGCTAATGGTTGAAAACACTTTCCTGAAGTTGTCTTGACCAGTGAATGAGGAAATTCATTTAAGGGGCAAACAAAGCTACCAATGAACAGTGGAGATAAGGAGTAAAGCTCTGGTACTGCACTAACCTCAGTTATTAACACATTACAGATGTGCAGCACTTTGAATGATGGAAAGAGACATTATTTAGCAGTTTATTTTACAATTACACAGGACAGACTGTAGGGGACTTAAGCACTTTGGGCCTGAGTGGCCATCATCCGTTCTTTTTGCTTCATTAGACATTTCCTCGCGCTGGCGTAAGCTCCCAGGTCTCCATCTGGAAAGACATTAGGAATTTAAAATGTGGTAGCCAAACTAAAAAAAGTTTCCAGATTATGAATTTTTGTCCAATTTAAAAGGCTGCCAGTTTGTGGGCTTTTATGAAATGGCACTTACATCTTGACCCATAGCTGTGGGTCACCTCGTTGAACTGCTTTATTTCCGGGGCACAGTTCTGCTGGTAGCTGGGTCCTTCTCTCTGCTGGCAGGCCCTCATACGCTCCTGGACCACCTTCAGAATCTCCTGGTCCACCTTGCTGTGGGGTGAAAACACCAGACAGTGACATTGTTTACACTTTGATAATGGCCCACTGACCACTACAGCAACCGTCCATGTGATGAAAGACACCACGTTGTAAGCGCAATGATGTCTCAAACTGAAAGGTTAAAAAAAAAAAAAGTCCCAAAAATCAATCTACGCTACACTTGTACAATGTATATTTAAACATGTAACTGAATCCCCCTAAACATCCTGTCTAATGCAATAGGTGCCCACAAGATGCTGCATCCATTTCCTCCCTCCTGTTGTGGGGTGAGACCCCTGCATCTGGAGTCAGATCAGCCTCAATGTTGAGAGAGCACACAGAAGGATTCACAACCGTAATGTGTGATTTCAATAGTTCCTACAACTGCTTGTTGTGTGTGAATATATCTGTGAATCTTGTTAATCAGGTGTCCATCTGGATGAAGTAATCCGTTTTCAGAGCGCACTCACTAGTCTCTCCTCCACTGCATCTCAGCCTCGTAGTAGCAGACGTAATCTCCGTGCTGGCACTCCGTCAGGTCAGGAACACGGCGGAACTTCTGGTGGTAGAAGACCGGCCTGTTTTTAGACCGAATACTGTCAACCGCATCTGGAACAAACACATTCATAGTTACACCTTAGGTTAACGGCGGACGAGGCTATGTGGTTTTCACTGTGATTAGACGAGTGTGTGAAAGAAGCTAGCTAGCATAACACCCAGGTTAGCCTGAGGTGAATACACAGCTAGCTAACGCTGTCAAGTATTGCCGCAAATCACAGCCTTATAGCTAGCTTACTTTGTGTGATATTTCCTTTTACACAAGGCTAGCAGCAGTATGCATTCAAATATATCGACAATACCTCCCCCAAATCTGTTAACCCGTTAGCCCAGTTAGCTATTTTAGCTTCGGTTACCTCTAAATGTAGTGACAGGCACGTCCACGGAGTAATAGAAGAGTTTAGACAGAATCAGGGCCGGGTTCGGCAATGCTGTCTGTTTGTCCACAACCGGAGTCTGTCGTGGAGGCTGCGGATACGCGTCCTTCTCGTGGTCTGACGGCATTTTTGCTGTATTACGAACAGGACTAAAGAAATCCTACAATTCGACCTCGGCGGCTCTCCTTCCGAGGTGGCGCATGCGCAGAGGACACAACATCATGGCGAACTAGAGGTCATCAAATGTAAAAACGCAATATTATCTAAATAAGTTTCGTTCAGATTATTCAAAGAACAGGTTGTTTTTGACAAATATAACGGACACGAGCACAAGTTGATTCAAAGTTTAGACATTTAGTTCATAGGGTAAAGGTCACACAGGTGGAGTTGTTGTTCCATGGACAATCAGCAGGTGGCGTATGGCTGACTGCTTAACTTGTTAAATACAGTCAATACTATCAACTAGTGCAAACTCACAGAAGACAGAACGAATCCTTTAGCAACATGGGACAAAGCCAGTATTAATAACTCACTTTTTTTAAAGAAAGATAAAATACAGTAGCCTTTCTGAAGCAGACCAGGTGAAAGTTGGCCTTGTGACAATGGAAACTTCCTTTCTCTCTCCTTTCATGGTCATGTGGTTCCTTTCCACTGAGCCTCCTCAACACCTCAGGCCACCGAGATTACCCTCTTCCCTCCTCCTGTATTCTCGTGTCATAACTTGGCAGAGATTGCCTTGTTTGAAAGTGAATACGTCTCTTGAGCTGCGCCAAACACAAAATTAGAGCCCTTCCACTCAGTATCGTCTTATGCATAACCGTTTCATCAGCACTTGCCCCTCTCTCTTTCTATTCCTCGACCGGACAGTTTACGGACATGGTCAGTGCTCCTCATACTTTCTGGCTCTTTTTTACTGTAAAGGGTACATTGTTTTGCAGTTTTGTCATCTACATTTTTGCATGTGTGTGTAGTTTATTACTGTGTGTACTTTGGTTAGCTCGGTTTGGATAGGGGAAGATAAGTCGTATTGAATAGTCTTTTCAATCTTGGAATGCTAAAAAGACGACTTTCTCTTCATGTGGCCTCCCATCGTTGAGTTTTGTTTATTATTTGGCCTGTGCTGGATTTCTGAACCACATTCCGTCTGACATAGGTGGGAGGTAACTATCAATATGTATTCTTTTATCCCCATTTATTTTTTATAATGTATGTCACTTAATATCAAATGATTTTAACATCTGAAACTTTTTTGCGAAAAACCAAAACAGATTTCATTTTTGTCACGTGTCTCCTCTCAATCTAATTGTGCAGTTCTTGTGTAATCAAGAAAACCATCGCAGTACATTCGGGTTACGTGTTTCACTCCGTGTGGCTCTTGCCTCTACAGTCTCATCGCAAATTCCACGCACCCCGCCATGGACACATGGGGTTTCTGCCCCACAAGCGTTCCAAGAAGCATAGAGGCAGGGTGCGTACATGGCCCAAAGATGACCCCACCCAACCTGTCCACCTCACTGCCTTCCTGGGATACAAGGCCGGCATGACCCACACGCTGAGGGATGTGCACCGCACCGGCCTCAGTATGTAGACTCACTGCCGCATGGATGCACAAGACGGTTCAGTGAAGTTGGCTGTTTGTTTGAGAGGATAATGTGCGGATAGGATCTGGTGTTGCATGACACCCTGGTTCTTTACGGAATCAATATAGGTGTATATGTAACATCATTAAAGTGTCACAGGATGTACCCAATGGCTTGCATACTGTTTATGTAAATGCAACATGTATCCAGTGTTTAAATCCTACGGTCAATTAAGCTTTACTGGATACTGACAGTTCAAATACATCAGCAGATTAATGTGATCCATGTTTCTCCCACAGAGCAAGCAAAGCGAGAGCAAGTGGAGGCGGTAACCATCGTTGAGACACCTCCAGTCATTGTGGTGGGGATAGTGGGATACATTACAACCATACGTGGCTTGCGTGCCCTCAAAACCATCTTTGCTGAGCATATCAGCGACGAGTGCAAGCGCAGATTTTATAAAAACTGGTGTGTGATTACACATGATTCCCTCACATGTTCCATTTGAGCAGTTGTTGCCTCGCTGACACCGTGTTTGTTTGCCGCACTTTTTGATACTTCAGGTACAAGAGCAAGAAGAAGGCCTTCACCAAGTACAGCAAGAAGTGGCAGGATGAGACGGGGAAGAAGCAGCTGGCCAAGGATTTCTCTCAGATGAAGAAATACTGTTCAGTAATCAGGGTTATTGTTCACTCTCAGGTAAGCCTACTAGTTTACACCTAAATCCAAAGCACAATCCAGTTTCCTCGTGCATTGACGAAGAAAAGTGGCCGCGTGCTGCTAAAAGCCAACTCTGACTATGACACTCTGATTTGTGGCGAGCAAAGGTGGAGGGTGCCGTTTCAAATAGCAGTTTAAAAATACTTCTCCGGGCAGAACTTGGCTGCTCACTGAAGCTTTGCTGTTGGCAGCGAGTAATATGAAGATCAGTTGAGGTCCCAACTCTGCCTCTGACATGTTTCAGCTTCAAAACTGAAGATAAAGACGTGCCCTTAAACCGGGGCTGGGGTAATAGCCATCAAAAAAGAATCTCAACAGGTACCTGTGCCGAATACAAAAGCTAATTGGAAATATACCATCTAATTAGCAAAACCTTTTCTAGATTTTAGAACAACCCTCAGTTGCAGTCGCATGCTCCTTTTCCAGATGCGGTTGCTGCCCATAAAGCAGAAAAAGGCCCACGTCGCAGAGGTGCAGCTAAACGGGGGAAGCATCGCGGACAAGGTGGACTGGGCTAAGGAGCACCTGGAGCAAGCCGTGCCCATCTCTACCGTCTTCTACCAGGATGAGATGATTGACATCATTGGAGTTACCAAGGGTCGCGGCTTTAAAGGTTGTGCTACACGCTCTACAGGCTATTCGTGTCGGTGCAAGGGCTTGTAAGATAAATGCATTACGTAATAGGTATATTTAGTCATGGCTCTTTGTGCTGATAGGTGTCACAAGCCGTTGGCGCACAAAAAAGCTTCCCAGGAAGACTCACAAGGGTCTGAGGAAGGTGGCCTGCATTGGAGCATGGCATCCGGCGCGTGTGTCGTACACTATAGCTCGTGCAGGTCAGAAGGGCTATCACCACCGGACTGAGCTCAACAAGAAGGTTGGCTCATTGATAGTTTCACTCATAGGACGTCATCTTCATCTGTTCCTTTGTAAAGAATGCTTCATTTCCTCACGTGTCCTCAGATCTACCGTATTGGTAGGGCGGTCCACATGCAAGACGGAAAGGTGGTCCGAAACAACGCCACCACGAGCTACGACACCACCCAGAAGACCATCACGCCCTTGGTACTCTCATTTCTCAACACTATGATCCACACTGAAACATATCATGTATCTACGATATAATACCCACACCTGTACATCACACCCCAGCTCTGCACAACGTGTTGTAAAGCATCATGATGTATTATAAATGGTATGAGTATGAATACGTTCTACCAATTGTGAATGAAAGGTGTTGTGAGAAATATGGTACATTAAGTATAAATCCTGTTACTAAATTACTGTGAGGGCTTTATTGAAGATGGCAGTGAGATTTCATCCTAAACCCTCCATTCTTTTTTATTCCTACACTACCCCGTAGGGAGGCTTCCCCCACTACGGTGAAGTGAATAATGACTTTGTCATGGTGAAGGGCTGTCTGATTGGGCCTAAGAAACGCGTTCTCACCCTCAGAAAGGTACGGTACCATCGTAATCTCACAGGCAGTTTGCAGGATAAGTAAAAAAGTAGCAGCATTTACTCTCACAGTTAAACGCATTATTGCAGGACGTGTATTGTGTGTGTACATCCTTGTGTCCTCCCCCCGCCCCCCAGTCTATGCTCGTGCACACGTCTCGCAAGTCCAAGGAGACCATCGAGCTCAAATTCATCGACACCACATCCAAGTTCGGCCATGGCCGCTTCCAGACTGCCCAGGAGAAGAGGGCATTCATGGTGAGCTTGAGAACAGCACATTTTGCAGTGTAGAACTTCACACAGCTGACTCCTTCTGTATTACCTCTAAACTGACATGTGGTCAACCTGCAGGGGCCGCTGAAGAAGGATGGCCTGAAAAAAGTGACAGAGCCTCTGACCGAGGAGGCCTGAGAGACATTCTCAATCCTCATACAGCAATAAAACACATAAGCACACTGTGTGTGATTGTGTCATGTCAATTAAAATTGTTGTTACCTAATTGATGTGTCTTGCCTTTGACTGGAGTGAGTATTTGAGTTCAACAACTACCATAGATTTAACAGTTTTTTATTCACTGATGATCCATGAGCATATTTACATTGTTCAGAAACAACATGCAGCATGGAAGTTTAGTTATCAGTATCATCTCCATGTTCCTCACAACCCAACAAGATGGGTTGATTAGAAATTGACTGGTCGGACAGTTTGTTAGTTGTTACAGCATTCTTTAACAAGGGTCATCTAATGCATCTTGTTTTACTGCATCCAGTATTTACATCGGTCATCAGCATTGGCATTAAATAAAAAAGGGTTCTAATTGGTGTGCAGTTCAATCATTTCTTACAGCGAGGGGCACTTTAGTACCAGTCTCACAGTTTCGAGGTTGCTTCCCCGCTCAGCTGAATTTATCCTGCACTGGTTACAACCAACACGCTCAGGATAAACACCGAGCCGGTACCCAGATGTACCCAGATGTACCCAGATGCATCAATAGCGGCACAGTAGTTTTTATTTTAAATCAACATAATCTCATCTGTGGCCTCAAAGGGGTGCTACTCTGACAGGTGCTCCTGGGACTCTGTGGAGGACTGGTGGGATGAGGAATGGACTGAGGATTGATGGGAGACGGGTGGGTTTTCCAGGCCGGATGTCATCAGAGGTAGATACAGATCATCCATATTGGGCATCACAAGCACTTTCTGTCGAGGGGCAAAGGACAACCAAGCCATATTTAATAATTAGTGCCGTATGCAAAATGGTAGTTAAAAACGTTTAAGTACCTTTAAAAATATTTTTCCGACAGACTCCCGGATGGACTGACCTGGAACTCACACTGCAGTTTTCTCTCGATCCACTCGGTGACGTGAGTGAAGGTGACCTCCCTCTCCCCGAGCGCGGGTCGCACATGAAGCTCTAACCTGGGAGGCACCCGGAAACTGTACCTGAGAGGACAGAGCGAGAGAAAAATACTGTGTGAGAAAGAAGAAAGAAACCTTTAAATTCATGGCATGAAATGACTTTTTAAGCTCAGTACCATATCCTGTCAGTAGGTGGAGGCGGTACGTTGATGGCCAGAATGCCAGAGAGCTCCAGGACCTCGACGCTGAGTATCAGAGGCATGTTAGACACCTCAGCTATCTTCTTCCTGATGAACTCGTTTTCGGTGGCTTTCTGGAAGTACTTGGACTTTGCTATCTTGTCCACAAATCTCAAGATCTTCCTACTTGTGCTGCTACCAGAGTGCCTGGACGGATTTGGACAAGAGCACAAATGCAAAGTCAAACTGTCAGCAATCAGCATCATTGTTCACACACATTGTTGTGTGTCCATCTTCTATGCGCATATGTTACTTTTTTAGTTAGATCACGAATAAAAGAGGAAATAATAACATTATTGGTTACACCTGTGTCTGCTAAAGTCAGTATATTTGATATGTGTTAAAATTCACCCTTCAGCTGCTACCACTGTGGTCTTCTCCCACAGAGACACTTGCGGCTCAAATGGGGAGGCTTCCTCTTCATCCGACGAGCCTGCGCTGGATGACTCTTCATCACTGTCAGCCAGTGCACACAGCCTGGGCTTAGAGCTGAAAAACAAAGCAGTTGGACCCTTTTTAGTGCAAACAGTGAAGCTAAGGAGACTGATTCCACCTTGAGCTTCATCTATTGAGGAACATGAAACTGAGACGGGCCTCACCCCACTTGGTGGGTCTCTAGGACGCTGTGAGCCTCGTCTTCTCCATCTTTACCCAGTTTACACAAGTTCATCTTAGTCTGCAGGGTCATCTGGAGGCAGCCTGTGTACACCACCTCCATCTCCAGCCACAGGCCTTGAAGATAAATGTAGCAGGTAAGATCAGATCTCTTTACAAGCCTCATGTCTACATCCTGCCTGGCACACGGTTGTTGCAGAAGGGCATGACACCAACCGATGACCACTCAGGCGTCTTTGTTACTTAAGATTGGACGAGGCCAACAGGAAATTGGTCAGAAAAGAGAAATGCAAGACTAAAGAGATCACAGCAAAGGTTCGTCAGGTTTTACTCTGGCACAGCGATGCTTTCAGCCACACCTCCAAGATGGCCCCCAATCACAAGAGCGTGTATGAATGAGGACTCATCCAATGCAATGTGTGTATGGGTGTGAGTGCACAGAACCGCACCTCTGCGGTCGAGTTTCGGTGTGGAGGTGCTGAGGACTTGAGGTAGACACGTTCCCATGTCCAGATCTGCCAGCGTCAGCTCATTCATGAAGTATGGCAACTTGTAATGAGACAAAAAACAGCTTTAGTTAATAAACACAACGTATTCACCTCAGACATAGACAAACCTGAACAAGTAGAGAGGCTCCACAGTCAAAGCTAATTACTTCTAACTAATAAGCGAGCGGTGGGGAACCTGCAGTGTGTGTGTGTAATCAGGGAATGAGAAATGAGATGCTGCAGTGCAATCACTGCTCAACTACTCACTCCTGCTTCCTGCCTTTGCAACCAGAGGGAGATTATCAGCGGACACACACACGCACAAAGAGGAAAGAAAGCTGCAGCGTCAATGTGAATATCTTTTTTGACCGTGTGCACAAACCAACGCTACTGCTGTATCATCCAGGGACCCAATTCGTAGAGCGCTGACCTATTCTGCCCACTCATTAGTCTTCATGACACTCATGATTCTGCTGCTGATGGTGTGAATATGAAGATCAATGTGCACATGGAGCATCAGTTAAACCAATCAATTTGTCAACCAAGGACTACCAACTAAGCTTGGAAAAAAAATCACCATCGCTCATCCGCTCTCACCTTGATCTTGCTGAGTTTCTTCTGGATCTTTTGTGCCACCAGATCGGTCCAGTACTTTTCCCGCAGAAAGTCCCAGAAGATCCGTCCCACCAGGGAGTTCACCCAGGTGGCCCCCTGCTGGCCCCCTGGAGAACGTTCCTCTGGCACTGAACCCGCACCGGGCTCATCTCCCGCTTCACCTCCAGATCCATGCTCTTCATCCTCAGTCTGCAGTGGCAAGCATTCATGTTTGCACATGCATTTACTGTTGAGGGGTATACGACTGGAGTGATTGATTGACCGCAAACCACGGATTAGCAGCTCTGTATTCAGTTTCTATATCTATACATCCTTCTAGCCAGGTGATACCTGATATTTCTGCACACGGACAGGTGGTCTAGTCAGCAGGAATGTGTTTGGCTGAGGCAGCATCCCGGGTAGGGCCGGTTTGAGCGCAGAGCGGAACAGAGCTACACACTAACACACTAACGAGCAACACCTGCTCCGATCATAGGTAGGTATGTTGAGTATTAGAGCCGTAAATGAAACCCACCGAGAGTTCACATCTCCTCACAACAACCCTGTGATGCTAAACCCGATATTACACCTTAAAAACACGTAAACATGTTGCTCATTTGACCTTTGTGTGGGCTGTGGGGCTTCCTTGGTCACTATGGCAGGGGCTGAGGGTGGGACTGCAGCTCTGCGGGCCAATCACTTGAGTCATGTAGGTGCTGTACTCCAACAGCGTTCTTGTTTTTAGCCCCCCGGGAAAATCGAGGAGTTCCTCTGGGGTTTCTCTAGCAGCGTCTTCAGCGCACTGTGTTTCTGCGTGACGGAGAAAACACAGGCGAATGGTGAGGAGGCGGAAGGAGTTGATACATACAACACGGGGTGTCACAGAAACAGTACAATCCTTCAACCTGACGGAACTGCACACATGTTTACAACACCATCTTACCTACGTTCTCCTCCCTGCTCACACTGCTCTGGGCTTCAGGCCGGGAGGCCGACAGGAAGTGCTGGAACCACTCCTCCTTCTCTCTTCCTGTGCGGCCAAACAGGTACAAGGTGACCGGAAGCCGGTGTTCTGGGGCCGCGTGTCTCTCTGCCCTTTCCTCCTCCTCCTTCTCCTCCTTTCCTTCGACCGAACTCTCCTCCCCGACCTCCCCCTCGGCCAGAGTGACGCAGACGGGGTACTTCTTGTTCCAGATCCTCTTGCGAGCCAGACCGGGCGGCAACAGAGACACCTGGGAGGAAAGATGAAAAAATAAATAATAAATAATCAAGGAAAAGCGGGAATTTCTTCACTGGCAGACAGAAATTGTGTGGACAGTTTGTCATTGCCAAAAACTCTATCAACGTATTGGAAGCCACAGTGGCCTGCCTCGATGTTCTATTACATCAGTCGGGTCAGGTTCATTCAGAGCATCATCACTTCGGTCGAAATCCGTCTGGTCTTTCACCTCCGTGTTAGATGACAACGTGGGTGCAGAGAGATGAGAGTTCGGGCGAGAGGTCAGCTTCTCTTTTACTCCTCTCTGAGGCACACGGCGACGTACTGACCTTACAGTTAGCCAGCGAGTAAGTGCGAGAGCGCAAAAACACGGCCTCGTGTCGGGGCGTGTCGTCGAACGCCGCCCACCGGGGGATGTTGGTGGTCGGGTACGCCAGGCGCAGCTGGCCGCCCTCCAGGGTGACGTAGACGGAGTGTGTGACGGAGGGGTGGAAGGTCTCCGGGTCGTAGCCATGTGTCTCATTCATCCATCCCTGGAAGAGAATGATGAGGGCGTTTGACAATCACAAATCACCTGTCAGAATTTATACTAAGGACTTCCTATATTTAGATGTGTTTTACTGACTATGTATTTATATATGATATCTAAAAGCATATGTAAACCTATCAAGAGCTCTACCTAGGTGTATTAAATTCATAGCGAGTGGTGCAATCGGCAACAATGCAGCTCAGCAGGAGGGGAAACATGAGACATCTGTCTCGTTTAACACCATGGACGAGTGAGCCTGCTGCAAGTAACTCCTCCGTCCTGGTAATATTTACCTGATATGAAACCTGCTGACTCTGCATTCATAGACAGAGGCAGCCCGACTCTGCCAGCGGAGCTGACAAGACCTGCTTTGAGAAAATGATTGTCAAAATAGCGTGCTCCTTGGAGTTAGGGGCCTGCGGGACAGTTTTTTTCTATTACGTAATCACCTAAAACTAGTTTAATAAGCACCAATGACAGCACTATTGTCAAAGCGCACATGGCTGCTCCCGCTCTGTATTTTGATCTCTCGAACATTAGAGGTTAAAGCTCATTTCCATGTAGCCAAATGTGGCAAAGGAAAACAGAAAGAGGCTGCTTGCTCTGTGCTACACTCACACATGTAACTACCTCAAAAGAAAGAGGGGATGATTGTGAAAAAGCAGACTGAGCTGAAATGTCACTGTGTTGCTTTCATGTTTATGCGTCTCCTTGTTGTGTGCAACTCATTTGTTACCTCGAGGATCTCCGGGTCTGCGAGCTCCCCGCCTGGTGGCTCCACGTTCGGGCGCCTGGGTTTGCTCAAACTGTTGTTGCTTCTGGCCGACGAGCGCCGCGGAGCGAAGGTGAACACCACCACCAGGCCCAAGAAGAATCCACACGCAACCCCCACGGACAGGCCCGTCACATAGGAGGGCAGGGGCAACACAAAGAAACCATACGCCACAAGGCCCACGGGGAAGAGCCAGTGCAGAGGCAGCGACGATGCCGGCACAGTGACCCGAGGCTGGGTGTCGGTTCTAGGGTGTGTCCCCCTCCGGACCTCCACCACCTGCATCACATCTCCGTTAGTGCAGATTTCTAGATGGCTGTCACCGTTGTGGCGCTCCAGCGAGACAGGAGATTCTGTCAAGGAGCTCCTCGGGAGTCTCCTCAGCGGTGTGTCAAACCCCCCTCTGTGCTCACCCTCAGCCCTCCTTCGGCACCTGAGGTCCTCACTGGAGCCGTCTCTTCCACAGCTACCTTGGGAGGACGGTGAGTCTCCGGCACCAGAAGTCCTGCCCTGCTTCGGGCTGCCGGAGCTTTCGTCCCCCATGATCTTACTCAGCATGCTCAGTGGATCCTGCATGGCCTCGGAGAACTTTCTCCGCGTGTCCTCCAGCTCAGCGATCAGCGAGCTGCCGCAAGTGTCAGCGGAAGGCGACGCCCAGCCGTCGGTCTCGCTCAGCCCGTCTGCCGCGGGTCTGACATCTGGGATTTTTGGACGGCTAAGCTGCTTCCAGGGGTGCGAATGCAGCTTGGAGTCGGACTTGGAGAGGTTGACCTCTGGTTCGGCCCGGCGGGAGATCTCGGTGCTCAGGGACTTGACCAGACTGAGCAGAGGCTTGCCTCGCAGGGAGCCGCTCTCCCGGGGCTTCAGGTCTGTGGAGGACGATTTGACAAGGTTGGTGCCGACAAGCGGTTCTGCCGATGATGCTGACAGATCCGCTAAAGAGCCCGGGGATGAGGGGGAGTGATGCAGAAAGGGTGGCTGGGAGTGGTGACTTAGGCTCAGGTCCAGTTCCATCCCCAGGCTGAAGTCCGGCTGGCTCTTCCGTTTGTTTTGTCTGTCTTTGCAGAAGGCCACGGTGGGACCTTCATCGTTACCGCCCAGGCTGAAGAGGAGCTTGCCCTCTTCCATGCTGGCCCTCGATCAGGAGCTACCGGGAGGATATGGTGCACCAAACGGAGTCTCTGGAGACATGGTCCATGGCGCTAGCACTGGGAGTCTTGAAGTGCATGTAAACTTATAACAGGCTGCTCTGGTAGCTTATACTTCATCATATCGATGGCTGGATATGTGGTGAGAAAGAAGGAAACATGGTGTTATTTGAGCAACTAAATTACTTTTTAAAGGACAGCACAACATTTGAGCCCTTTCAATTGATGTTCTAATGTTCTCTTGACCTTTAACTCTAATCTTTCTCCTTTGTCGTATTTACTGCTCCTCTGCGGGGATTTATGTGTGTGTCTGTGGGCTTTCAGGTCACTCAAAGTCCATGATAGGGGTAGAGAAGCACTTTGTCCACTAGTCATTAGCACAAAGACTTTAAAACCACAGTCTTAGCTAATCCCAAATTAGACGCAGTTACCCTACCCATCGTCATCCTTTTTTTTTACCTCTAATCGTGACAATTGTCCTGTCTGAAGAGCAAAATAAAAATGAAGACATCCGAAAGGACGCACAAGTCAAGGTGTGTGAATATCTTTTTGGTGTTTGCACACCGGACTCTTTCACAGAGTCCAGATGTTGTCACTAACAAACAATCTGGTCGGAGGGCAAGAGCTCCGGTACAGTTATTAAAGCTTAAGCTTCAGCATGTAATGACTGTTTCCTTGTTTTAACCAAACCCTAACTGCTGCCCATGAGGCCTTTGAATGCATAACAATTAGACGCTCCCTCTGGGATGTGGGGGCTCATGGAGCTATAACAAGCCCTTCCCAGCATGTAACAACAAATATCATATCATCCTTATGGCAGGAAGGCTGCACAGCCAACAACCCACAGGCAACAGCAACGCTATGATCCAGGCAGAGAGGGGTTTAATCCTCCACGCTAGAGAGGTTTTGACGACAGCAAATTGAGACAGGATATTAATTCAATATGATGAATGGGTAATCCGTGTGTTCTGCAGATTCCTTGTCATTCATTTGCTTAAGCTGTCAGCCCAATGCAAGTGTAATGCTCGGTGTGTAGTCAAAAACTGGCGTTGTGAGCAATGAAATTACTTACAGGAAATGACATCATGAGAACATGGAGTTTTCCCGTATTTTTGATCATCTGCCTTGATCAGTATCACTTTTCCCTCTTCCTGCTCTTCTTCAGAGCAAAGTGCTCCTTATTTCTTGACATTCAGTGACCGTTTTTACATGAGCCCAGAAGGAGAAGATGAAACAGCGGTAATAAGACAGTTGTGCTGCTGTAAATTGCAGCAGATTATTTCTTGTTACTTCAGTTTCTTCACCTCATTGAACATTCCCATTTCATCTCTTCTCTGCACACTGTTCATAAGGATCAATTTTACATTTTCAGCACCAACCTGAAGCGCTCATTGTGAAATTAACCAAAAGTGGTGCTCTGCCAGCGCTTGACCTGCTCCAGAGAGCCCTGCATTACCCCAATCTATTTCTGCTTCGAAGTCAATTTGGATGAGTTTTAGCTGACGAGGAGAGGAAAACCTCAGCTGCTGTGTGCAGTACGGAGTCAGCGGGGATTTGGCCGATTTTCAGTCAGGACTGTGGACGAAGTTTTGCAGGAAGGGAAAAAAAACAGCCGACGACCGAAGGCTGTAACCCCAATTTTGGATTTGTCCATAAAGAGAAGAAAGTGGAGCAAAAATTCCGATGGTAAAGATACATTTCTTAACTGTAGTTTAATGTTAATGACCGAAAGGTAGAAATAATTCAATACTTAATCTTCTCTAAATTCAAATGTACTATAATTTTTCGTTTTTAATTTTCCAAAAGATATTTTTTTCCATTGTTTTGTCGATTAACATGTATGTATGTATATATATATATATATAAATATATATATATATATGTATATATATATATATGTATATGTATACATATATATATATATATTGACCATTGATGGAATTTCAAAAATGTGTTAGATGAGACCAAATGAAACATCTTTAAATGTATATTTTTAAACTAAAACAAGCCACACATTCTCTGCAAAGTCGGATCAAAGAATATTTGACATTTTTGCTTAAAAACTATTCATGGCTTTAAAAATAATCAACCAAATTTCTCCAAGGGCCTCACGGTGTGGACAAAGTACTAATTCAATGAAGTATGACATTTCTTAGTATTTTCTATAAATGCAGGTATTAGAGGCTTAATTCTAGAAACATTAGTGAGTTTTAAGACACATACACTTTATTTTTAAAGGTGGCCAATTGGTGAAGTGATATCTGGTTGTTCAATTGTTTAGCAATGAGAAGAAAAGTACACTAACAATGAATGAACATCATAAAATCCCACTCCGATCCCTGATTTCTGCATAGGATTGAATCACATCTTTCCCACAGTCCTCTTCTTGGCTTTCCTATTTTGGTCAAAGTAGGACAATAGAATCCAATTGGGAGTGCTGCTCGAGTAAATAGGACTGTCCCTGCCGCCACTTTGCCAACGGCTTTAAGCTTATTCCTCAAGTTGACCCTGATGATTGACACATTTGGCCCAGGACTCTGTTTGTCTGGGTAACACATGGTAAGAGTTATTACAGCTGTACTTCTTCTAATTAATCACTAAGACAATATCTCCGGCTTAGAAAAAAAAGCCTGTTATCCTCTATTTGAAATTAAAGGCAGCACTGATTCCAATGACGTGTGCTGCAACCAGTAAAAGCAGAGCTCTTACCTGGAGGTGGAATGTGTTCATCCAACATCAGAGGCAGAGGTCTGTGCAGAAATGTGCTTCAGGCTGCAGTGCTCAGTGTAGATGCTGCAGAGCGCGGGGGCGCGCACGCAGCAACGAGCCTCGGGCAACACACATGCTCACTTAACTTTACTCGGATTGTATCCAAGCTTCCATGCAAAAAAAGACAACAATAAAAAAAAAACCCGTCCGGACTCCGCAGTTGGTCGCATCTAAATACGCGGTTCAGTCTGTGTAGAATAAACGCGTCAGGCGCGTCACCGCCGGTTCACGTCGCTCCTTCCCTTCCCCCTCAGGAAGAGTCAACGCAGTAATAACGTGATTATTGGAAGTCCTGGTGTACGGACCTGTAATCCAGATTAGACTGGAGAGGCGACTCGACAGCGTCAAAACACCGAGACAGGAGCTCGTCCCTCCGCGCTCTGACAGCGTGAGCGCTGCAGACTTATGTAATGGGAAGACGTGGAAAAGCCTGTGCATGCTCAAAGTTGTTGCTTCAGCCCTTTATTTAAAAGGCAGGATGTTTTTTTTATTGGTTTATAGGGGATACACAGATCTGCATGGGAGAATTTCCCTCTGTCGCACTTTTTCTGGGATGAATCTTCATTTTGGATCTCACATTTCGGGTTTATCTGTGTTTTGATTTGTCTGTGCTCTTAGTCGCTTCCTTTGTATATGGTGCTGGAAAGAGCAGAGGGAGAAAGAGAAGCAGTGAGGGGGGACAACAGCTGGCTCTTGACATTAAGGATTTGTATGGATTATTGTTGCAGAGCTGCAGGGGAGCTGCCCAGTCACCGACCTTGTGCGACCTGACATTTAACTGCTAGACGCACAGTTTCATGGGCAGGTTCTAACACTTGGACTACAAATACTATTAAAAATGTCACTGTAGTATTCTACAAGCCACAGTTTAGGCTTAACACCGAGATTGAGTGCAGTTATATTTGTACTACAGCTTCTTTAGCAACAATGGGAAATGTAGTGTTATAATAAACCAAACCACTACTGTCTCCTGCCACCTGTTGGAGAAACTGCATTAGAACAAACCTTTTAGAGCAGCAGGGTGATGCGGCCATAAGTCCTTTATTGGAGGAATAAGCATCCACATATTTATACTAATAAGTAACACTCTTTTTCAGTAGATTTTAAACAGATAGCAAAAGTCAAAGATGGCACACTTGCTGCTCACATTTATCATATTTAAGAAGTAAACAATTGGCATGTGAAGCAAACTTTAATGTACCTGTTTTTGAAATGTATAATTGACTTCCCTCTAAATTTGTGTCATGTGATCAGTGCATCTGTTTGGATGTAATATGGTGAACAGAACCAGATCTCAAACATTTTGCCTTCTAACATGAGATACTGCGTGGTGATCGATAAATCCTGAGTGAAACTCACCTCGGGTAAAAGTTACTTTAGTGAGAGAATAGACTAAATTGAAGCAGCAGAGATAGTTGGGATCAAGCACCATAAACGGATGCTCCAACAATTCCCACAATGCAACTCTAACCCTCCTGTATAAACACTTTCGCAGTTTGTGGACATTATGAACTTAAATGGAGTTCCCCTTCGAGCTAAAAGTTTCCTCACTCACCAGATAAATGCATTTTATGGACAACTGTAACAAAAGTTGAATGAATTGAACATATAGGGATCAACGACTTTCACTGTTCTGTTTTACTCCGGAGCTGCCTTTTCATGAGTTTGCAGGTGCACCTTTAGATTGGGTGCAAACCTGTATCTCATCCCACAAACGTGGCAGCCATATGGCCTCTCGCCCGTATGTGTGGTCCTATGTCTGGTCATCTGTCCGCTCTGACTAAAACGCTTACCACAAACATCACACGGGTACGGTTTTTCTCCCGAATGGTACCTCATGTGTGTTTTCAGATGACTGCTGGTGCTAAAAAGTTTACCACACAGGCCGCATTGATACGGTTTCTCCCCCGAATGACTTCTTTTATGAATTGTGAGGTTTTGGCTCTGACTGAACGCTTTCCCACAAATGTCACAGTGATACGGTTTCTCCCCGGAATGGGTCCGCACGTGCACGATGAGATGCTCTCTTCGGTAAAATCTCTTGTCGCATTCCTGGCAAACAAACTCTTTTTTGCCTGTGTGTATTCTTTCATGGATCCGGAGACAACGGACGTTGGAGAAAGTCTTGGCACAAATGTCACAGAAATAAGTTGTGTTGTGACAATCTTTCACGTGAGTCGACAGCTCGTTCGAAGACAAGCCCGTCATCCCACACACGGCGCGATCCACGTTGTTTTCATGTGTTTTTATGTGCTTCATCAACGAGCCGATGTATTGGAATCCCTTGCCACAAAAATGGCAAAAACTGCGACCCTTTTCACTATTAGCGGAACTTTTATCGCTGGATAATGCCGCTTGGTCCATCTCATTAGCGCTGACACTTTGCCCTCGCAAGGGATTTTCTTTCCTTGTCATTGTTCTGGTCCGTTCCCCTTTGCTATTCACCGACTCCTCATCACTGTCACTGTTCTCTATCTGAGCTGCAGACCCATGCGAGGGAACTGGAAGAATCTCATACGATGCGCGTGTCACTGGGTGATCTTGCTCACTCCTCACAATTTCAGAAGGGGGAAAACCCATCTCCAGTATTCCGCTCTCATCCCCAAGTTCCTCTTGCTCTTCTTTAACGTCCGACATCGAGAAGTCTGTCTGGACCAAGCAGTGGTTCCAGTTGTCATGGTCCGGGTCCGCACTGGTTTGAGAGGCCCCCGGGAAGTCAGCACCCAGACTGGAGGGGGCCTCCTCTGGGCTTGAGGGTCCCGGGTTCTCCCGCAGCAGTGGCGCGTCACATCCGGCTTCGTGTTTTACTCTGCTGCTGGTCAATGAAGGCTCTGCAAACATATTTGAAAAAAACAACAACTCTAGTTTAAAGTTAAAATACTTTGATAGTACATAACGTAGCTGTGAACTATTTCGAGTACCGCAGCGGAGTTGTATGTACGGTATGTGCGTGCATCTTTAGCTAACGTTGTGTAGCTAACGGTGCTTCTGGCACTACACCGCAGGCTACATGTGGAGGTCGGTACGGCAATGCGAAGGCTAAGCAGCTGCTAAACAACACAACACAACCGAGGTCTCACACCTGGCTTCTTTCGCAGGAAGTCTAGCTGCTGTCGCAGACTTTCAACCTCCTCTTTAGACCGACTAACTTCTGCTTCGTGGGTAGCTAGCGCGATGGCTTTCTCCACCTCGCCGAGGATCTCCTCCGCCGCGGCGTACAGCCGCTGGTGAACAAACGACCTCAACTGAAACATCGTGGTGTCCATGACTCCGGCGGGAATTACAGCAGAACACTAATGACGGCAGGAACGGGATGGCGAGGAGATAAACGCGGCTAACATAGCTTAGTGCTAGGAAAGAGGAACCGCTAGCTCACGAGACAGGACATCCGGTCTATAATGGTTCAGAATAAAAGCGTAATTTCTAAATCGAGATGAATGGGACGTTACAGCAACCAATCCGCACATCGGAAAAACACAAGAAAACTGAAGGATGTAAAATTAAATAAATGAACTGTGGAATGGATTATAACAAGCGAGTTACACAGTCATGATCACGGGACACACGTCGTCTCCTTGGTTTTATTTTGAAGGCTATACTCTTAAACCGGATGTCTTATAGTCGCCAGCCGCGTTGTTTGTTACGGTCCAGACGACTTCACACTGCGTCAAAGAGGAACCAACACTGTCCCAAAGAGCACAGGGATGTCGTTTTGTAGTTTTTTCGGGGGAGAGGTCTATAAAGACCACTTCAAACCAGGTACATTCGCTACTTTAACTACTTCTCGTTCTTCATCAAACATTCTTCTTAACTTATGCTGTTGACGAATCGTTAGCATAGCTAGCCTCTGTTAGCTAACCACTCACTTTAATGACAGATCACTTTGGGTCGCACTTAAGTGTCAACTCTTATCCATGTTGACTGTAGCCACGAGCGAGACGCTTAGGAAGGGGTGAGCAGAGCTAACGTGGTGACTGCCAGAGACATTGGTTGGCATGTAAATAGCGTAAATGAAATAAAAAGCTCGGGTTTTGTAACCCATGCTCAGGTTACACAACAGTCAGCTGGCTGTGTTACAAAACCGGTTTTTGTTTCCAACAGATCCAATGAAAAGTTTGCTTCGTCTTGAAAAACACACCCTATAAAAACGTCAATGGAACACGATCTATACATAATCGTATCCTACTAAAACATTTAAATCTTAGATATGAATATAACACATACCCTTTAAAATACAAAAGTAACCTAACAGGATCCCAACTATCAGAGTTGAAGGGAAACCAACAAGTGATCCCTGTTTTGTACCAAACAATTTCCTGAATCCAATCAAATAGTTCTCTCCTCGCATTGTTCTCAAATCCTTACCTCCCATCCTTTACGCCTCAGGGGTTTACGTCTGCTCCAAGTGTGACCACCAGCTGTTCACCAGCCGCTCCAAGTACGAGCACTCGTCTCCCTGGCCTGCCTTCACAGAGACCGTCCGCGAGGACAGCGTGTCCAAGCACGAGGAGAGACCTGGCGCGTACAAGGTACGACCGGAAAAGAAAATCGATCCCTTTGATTTAACTCACCAGAGGACGCTCCGTGTGAGCGCGTTACATCCATGTCCGAACCGGCCTAAACGCATTTCCAGAGACCAGATGTTCTGATCTGTTGTTGCAGGTGCGATGTGGGAAGTGTGGAAATGGACTAGGCCATGAGTTTGTGAACGATGGGCCAGCCAAAGGCGTGTCTCGCTTCTGAATATTCAGCAGCTCCCTGAAGTTCATCCCTAAAGGTACGACAGTCGAATTATATGCTCTGTGCTTTATTTGAGCCATTTTAATGTATTTCTTTATTTAAACAGAAATAGTGTGATTTGTTTTATTTTATAGTTGAACAGTAGCCTATATGCAACGTTTTTATTGGTTCGAACCAACCATATATATTTGTTTTTGTATTTATTTTTGTATTTTATTACTGTGATTATTTTTTAAGCCCGAACTTCTTGAATATTATCCGTCAAAAAAACTTCCACAGGTTGACCAAGGTCCATTGCTCTTTGTCTGAACAATGAATAACTATTATATTGTAATGATTGTTTAGCAGTTGTTTGGTGTCTGTCAAATCAAGACCAATTTTGGGCCCCAACCAAGTAAAACGGCCCCGTTCTCCTGTCTCTCCGCAGATAAGGTTGATGGACAGTAAGGTGAGCTGTTAGAGGGGAGTGCTGCTGGACATGCAGGAGTTTCTCTGTGCTGCTGAAGGTGTGGACAGCGGATGAAGTGTTCTGGGACAAAGCCCATCTGGGAGCTCAGGGCTCTGATGCATGATGGCCACACCGGATCACTAAGCAATAATCACCATCTCAGGAAAGCCTCTCTGATCACCAGTTTACGATGTATAGTTCATGATTGAGATTGTCTCATGGGGAGAATAGCGTTCCTATGATTTTATAAGCTATTATTACTGAAGAAATTCTAATATTACTATGAGAAATGAAACACGCCTGTTTATTTACCTTCAAGGGCCTCTATGCAAACTAAAATAAATCTAATTTAAATTAATATAATACAATGCTCTCTCTCTTTCTTTGCTCTCCGGGGGGGTTGTAGCCAGTAATGTCAGTCAATAATGACACAAGTAGGACAGATGGAGACACTTTTTATGGACTGAACTATATCTCAGGTTTATCCACGTGCCTCTAAAACGATTGGTGTTTGAATTTACAGAGTGCTGTTCTCTTCTAATCACCCGTTCTCACCCATATCAATACGTTATTGTTATCCATATCATTTTAAAGTTTAAAGCAGAGTTGGCTGACTTACATTTACACGAATGCTGAATCTCGATGATGTAAACACCGCCACCCAGTGGAAGCAATGGGAACAGGCCGAGACGTTACACAAGGAAGTTATCGCAGCTGACACTTGAGATCTGGACCTGCTAGTTTGTTCCAGATTGAGCCGCGCGACTCTTCGTAAACACATACGTGTCCAACCGCAGGGAAATCACGTCTGTTTTGAAGGCACAAAAACACTGGGTGGCGAGAGCAGACCAAGTTTCTGTACAGAAAATGTATCTTTGCTGTACCTCTGTTTAACAGATAAAAGTTAGCCTCACTGTTTCTTCAGCACCACTCTGCATCTGTGTGTGTATGTCGTCCACACAGCACTTAATAGGCTTCTTTAAAAGTGTAATTGCACGCTCCCTTCAGTTGATGGTGCTATGTGCCCAAAAAAACCCACCTAAAATGAACCGCAACTCCGCTTATGTATTACCATGTGGACATATTTTTCTCTCCAGAGTATTCAGAGCACAGAAAGGCCTGTTCCATATGACAACAAGAGAGCATATTATGACATTACATCATGGTGCCTTTGTAATGATGTTTACATGTTTTCAATTAAAAGTCTGCCTGCAAAAAAATAAAAATATTGCAATGTTTGTACTTTTGCATGTATACAGAGTTTGTTAATGGAATTTTGTTGACTTTCTCGCTAAAAGTTCACGGACCAAGAGTGCAGTAAATATCTGAAAAGCGTGTCTCCACTGCAGTGCTGTCGCGTCCACTCGACTTGACTCGGTCTCGTCAGGAAAAGAGATCCTGGATTCATGCTGATACCTTTGCTTGGTAAAATTCAGTGTTCTCCTACTAAGCAAAGTCTTCCCAATGACTTCTTGGCTCGTGGAGCGGTGGAATTCTAAACAAAGTGAGGATGTGGGACTGCGTTCAGCGGCCCCCGTGCTGTTTAAATGTCTGGGTCGGAGCAGGTGTGGATCTGCCTGTTTCAAAGGCCGGAAGATCAGAGGGGCGGATGAAAGCTGCAGCGTCAGGCCTGAGGATTAAGAAAGGAAGTGCAGAAATGTGTAGATTCTAATGCTGTGTGGTAGTGCAACAGCACATAAAGCAGAAGCCGTCTTGTGCATTTGATGTGATGGCGTTGTCCGTAAGACCAAAACTGGTGAATTCACTTCAGAGTGAAACTAAGTATTTTGATTATTAAGCCTGAGGAGTGACTAGACGTCCTTGACGTGGATTCTCCGTTGTAAGGCCACACACAGCTGGCTCACACACTGACCCGTCCTTGAGGGGGGGCAGACACAAGATCCCCACACAAAGATAGAGCAATTGCAAGAGGATAGATGAAGAGGAAAAGGAAATTGCCAAAGACACGGAACTGTAATTAGAATTATCTATCTGCGATAACACCCTTTTCTGGCCGGAATCTGAGCACAGCTGTATGGCCGAGAGGGAAGCAAACAGGAAGGAGGAAGTGCTAATCCTCTGGTAGAATCGCGAGACAGACTTGAACGGTGACCACACGCTTTCCTTCCACTGACCTCCAGGGCTCATCCTGCTCCAGAGCAAATCCCTAATTACATCAAACCACTGCCACTCCAAAGCCTTCCCCAGCGCCTCAGGGCGAGCCTGAGGGCACCACTTCAACATGTGTGTGTGTGTGTGACTCGTTGGCGGGGACATCTTGTTTTAATTACATCCTATAAGAGGGCCCTTGCCTGGATGTGGATGTTTACGGGCACTGCACCTGCTTCTGTTTTCAGCCCCAGAGTGAAGTGTCTTATTCCGCGTCCACACGCCATGACATTATATCCACTTTCATCAAGGTAGTGTGGCCTAACAACATCTGTCACCCAGTTGCTCTCCCGAGTCCCTCGCTACAGAAGCTGTGCTCCCATTGTGGGAGGAATTAAGCTTTTGAATGCGTGACTGTAACAAAAATAAAGAAAAGCTCCTTTCATCAGTGAGTAATGTGAGTTACCCCCGCTATAATGTAACGTCTCCATCCATACATGGTATGACTGCCCTCCACATGTTAAAGACCACATATGTTGGCCAAAAATCTGCTTCCCGCTCTGTAATTATTAAAAGGATAAACAAAGAAAGTTATGGAAACTCAAGGAACTCCCGTTGGGCATTGTTGTAATTCTGTCAGGCCAACATGTGCTTGAAAGAGATGGAGCTTACGAAGACCAAAAGATAATATAATACATTTGCTCGTCCTCTCTGAAAGGCCCAGCAGTGACCGCAATATGTGAATTGTGTAGTTTACTGGGCACATAAACAGATTGTATGCGATGTGGGTATATGAAATGCATATCTTGACAGCCTGTTCTGGTTATGAACACTGTGAATCTGGAATGAGGTGTAATAAAAATGCAATTACACTAAAGAAGCAACAATGAAAAACCACACTTTTCCGTTCAGTCCAACTAAATGTCAACAATTTAAAGCTGGGAGGAACTGCACTACAACGCCCCCCCCCCCCAAAAAAAAGCACCCCGTGAAATCCAAAGTATGAGGGCGCGAAGTAAAGAAATAAACAACGAGAAATTTCAAAGGCTATTTTCAATGACTTCTGCCGCTCATTGTCCCCTTTATCACA